CCTACGCTTGCAAGTGTAAGACTGCCTCACACTTTGATTGGCAGTGCACAATCATACCACGAAACACACATCATGCTAATTCCTACGACAGATGTAGAACCATCCTAGAATAGCTGCAGACGTACCTAAGAGTATTGATCAACTATCTTCTCTGCAAATCAGTGAATCTCGATGTCTCTGAAATACAAGGTAGGTGTACGCTAGACCGCGTCTTGTCGTAACAGGCTTCGCGATGCTGCGCCAGTTTCAACAATCCACGCCTGGCGTTACACCTTCCTTGGCCTGCGGCGCTTGCCTGCCTTCGGCAGGCTAGGTGTTTTTTCCAGGCATCCGCAAACCAATAGGGCATTTTAACGAATCCCTGGCCCGGAAGTCAAAGAACAAAAGTAAGAACCAAAACGGCTTCTGCGCATGCGCAGACGTCCCCCCTCCACTCTGAGGCAGCGTCTGCGCATGCGCAGAAGCCGTTTTGGTTCTTACTTTTGTTCTTTGACTTCCGGGCCAGGGATTCGTTAAAATACCCTATTTGCGTGATTAAAGGTCAAAACAGCATTTGATTTCGTGCCTGAGGCTGGGGGGCTGTTGGCCTAACTTCTCAACTTGTCGAGGCTGGGGGGCTCCGAGGTGTTTTTCGGCTATAAAAACTGGACAGTGAAATTTCGCGTGTGCCGGGCCAAGGACATACCCAAACAGTGTGGAAAATCTCACCGAGATCGGCCGAGCCGTTTGGGAGGAGTAGTGCACACACACACACACACGCACGCAGACAGACAGACAAAACTTTTCAACCGCACTGGAGCAACGGGCTTCGCTATCGCTCAGCCAATCAGCCAACAATGTCCACGTATTTATATGAGGATGAAACTTTTTAACAAGCCCTTCGGCGAGTAATTTTATAAAGTATGTTGGCATCACGGACTTCCAGAAAATACCGCTTTTCGCGTCATGTGCAGTTAGAATAGTTCTGAATTGACGCTGACTGTTAGGATTGTCTTGGATCTTCTCTGGTAGTTAGGATCACTCTATTAGGACGCGTCGAAATATGTAGCATGCGTTCGAAGTAATATGCGAGTTGACAACCCCTCTATCAATGGGCATGGCGATTCGTAGTCCATTTCGAATCGAAGCACACTGTGGCAAAAAGGTACGGAAAATTCTGTTAATTTTTTGCCAGGATTCTCCGTAGCCCTCTTATCAATATTCTCCGTAGGATCTTACAGTATTCTCCGTAGGGCCGTACAGTATTCTCTGTAAGTCCGCACAGTCTTCTCCGTAGGACCTGGAAGACTGTATAGTCCTACGGAGATCACTGTAAGGTCCTATGGAGAATACTGTGTGGTCCTACGGAAAATACTGTAAGAGCCTACGGAGAATATTGATAAGGGGGCTACGGAGATTACCACAAGCTGTTTACAGAATTTTCCGTAGCTTTTTGCCACAGTGCACCGACTCTATGGATTTTCTTTGCCGTCGGCCGTTCGTGTAGAAGCTTCTAGACTAACCACCTTGTCAGTTGAAAAGCTCGCCTGCTGTCACCGTCGATTTGAGGCGACGACACTTGACCGCAGCAGAGACCCAGTCCATTCCAGGATGGCCCGTCCGCGCGTGGTGACGTGTTTGGCCTTGCTCGCCGTGGCGCACTGGTAACGTCAGAGACGATTTCTGGTTTTCCCGAGTAGCCCCACTCGTGTTAATTTCGTCAGAATGTCAGAAACATGTCTGAAATCCTTATCAAAATTCGCGCACCTCTGAAAGCTGAAATTCTGGAAACTTACTCTGATATTGACGGTTTGAGTTCTACAGACTATGAGGAGATGTTTTCAGCTTTCACAAGTGCGCGAATTTTGATCAGGTTTTCAGACACACGGTAAAAACGGTTCCTGGTTTTCCCAGGAACTTCCTGGAAATCGCCTTTGTTTCTACCATAGGCTTCCTGGGAACACACGGTACCGTTTTTACCGTGCAGGTTTCTGAAATTCTGACAAGATTTACACGAGTGCCACAGGTGATTTTCAGGAAGTTTCCGGGAAAACAAGGAACCGCTTTGTTGTGTTAAAGAGTGGTATCAGTATCACCCTCTGTTTTCAAGCGTTATCCGTCCGCAACTTCAATCAAGCGTAGCAGATTCATCCACCCAGCACTGCAAGAAAAAGTGTGAAAAGTACAACAAAAATACAGCAAAAACTCTACAATAAAAGTACAACACGGATTGTATTAAGTACAACGAGAATTGTACAAACCACAACGAGGCCTGGACTGCCCAGCACTCGTCATGCCGGTTCCATTGTATTTTGTACAACAATTGTTGCACTTTGAAAGTACAATGAATTCCTGATAAAAACAAAATTGCCAGTAATTTGTGTAGTTTTGTAGTGGTTTTTTCTTGCAGTGAGATCCCCCCTCATCTACTAAATGCACGTGGGAATTTCTGGTCTAAGCTTTATTTCAGGCCCATAACGTCTTTTTGACTGAAGCATAGTTTACCAGTGGGTTGTCGGTCTCCGCTGGGGCGCTGCCTGCGACTAGGATCACTGCTCCCAACAAGACCGAGGGCGGCGAGGCACGCTACATCCACAGCCTGCTCCGGCCCGCCCTGCTGCGCACCGGGGCCTTCTCGCCCCAACTGCTCATGATCGGGACGCCGCGTTGGCTGGACGCCTTTCTGCATCAGCAGGACTCGGCGTCCGTGCTGTTGTTGCCCGGCCCGGCTTCACTTCGAGGAAAAGTGTGGATATTCTTATTCATTTTGCGATACTTCACCACAAATTTTTGCGGGAAAAACCCACGATTTTTCGCACTTTGGAATGCAATTGATTTGTCACTGCAATATTTTGCTGTAGTCGCTCCTTAATTTTGGCAGTGAAAGAGCCTCCAGTAGAGCTTTGATTGCAAATGTTTTTTGACAACTTTTTTAATTGCATTTTGTTGGTGGCTCGCCATTTGTAAACTGGGTATTCAATGTTCAAGCCCCATCCGTCCAAAGACATTGGTATGATAGCAAGGGACAGACTGCAAGCACCATTTTTTAGTATGAACACTCAACAATCTACCCAAAAAAAAAAAAAAACTAAAAAAAATTGTTCAACACCAGATTAGGAAAGAACATGAGGCACGTAAAAAAATTCTGCAAAATAGACGCTTCCGCTCGTCGCCGAGTGAGGAACAAAAGTGATCAAACGGGCAAAATTATGCCTTAATGTGCCCACTGGTTCATGGCTTTTTGATTACTTTTGTTCGTTCTATTCTGGACGACGAGCAAAGGCGTCTTTTTCAAAGTGTCACAGCGTACACAAGTTCAGCCAAAGTTTTAATTTATTTTTCAACCGGCTGAATGCGTTTAAAAGAGCATAAACTTGGCCACAAAATGAACCTGTGTCTTTCTTATCGGATGAGAAAAGGCATTTCGACGCGACAAACTTGCTTAAAGGTACATTTTCATGCAGTTTCTTTCGTTGGTACATTAACATGGTGCCCGCTGTTCGTCTGTAGCATTCACACTAATCTTTTACTTGACGTCCAAACTTAAAGTTAAAAAATAATCAGACAAAGTTCATTTTTTTTGCTTCCAAAGTACTTCATCGGCTGTTCTGACAAAATCACAAACCTACGACATAATCTGACATTTTCCATCTTGTTTTGTCAAGAAAATGGTTGTTAGTGTGGACAAAGTCTTGGAAATAAAACCAATGCAACAATTTCACAATGTCGTCATGCCGGCTTCATTGTTCTTTGAATTAAAATTGAAGCGATTTGATGGTACCTGATAAAAAGTATGCATTCAGTATGCAAACTGGCCGGCCAGTTTCGGGTTTTGTTTCTGTAGTTTTGTTGCCATCATTTAATGTTTTATTTTTGTTTGCAGTGTTGGGGGTGGTTGTCCTCGAGGACGATTATTCTTCTGTCGGTTCCGAGCGCAGTCCTTGTGATCGCCGAGGACAAAGCGTCCGACCTAATCGCCCTATTGGCTGGCATAGAGCAGCCTATTGGAAGTCGGATACTGCTTTGGACCGGGCGAGAGGAGGTCCGGACGCAACACGACTTCAACAAAATAGCAACAGCCTCGAAACTGTTGCCTGAGATGTCGGTAGCGCTTGTTGTCGGAGATGCCGCTCGTGGTTCGACTCTGTACTCGGCATTTTATGCGCCCGGGGAGAGGCACCTTCGTCCGCCTCCGGTTTGGATGCCGGGAGAAGTACCGTTCTTCGCGCCCTGCTACTTCAGCGGAAACGCGAGTCGCAGCGTGGTGATTCACTCCGATGGGGAGGAGAACGTGTATCACACAATGTACAGGCGATTCGGCGAGGCCATTGCTCGGGAACTGAATATCCACACTGTACAGGATGACCTAAAGGGATTGCTGGATGCTTTCTATTCATGTCGTGCGGACCTGATCAATCTGATAAGTCAAATGAGGATTTTAAGTAGCATTCAATATGACTCCTTCCCTTGGGCCATGGACAGAATTGCAGTGATAGTGCCCTCCGGCATGGGAAAGGGCAACTGCCTCGTCGACAACGTCACCAAAGAATTCGCAGTGCCACTGTGGATCGCCACGTGGCTGGCCTTCGTCGCGGTGGCCGCCGGGCTGCTGCTGCTGGGCGGGCGCGCCACCGCCTTCCTGGACGCCCTGGCCCCTCTCGTGGCGCAGCCTGGGTCGAGGGTCGGTCGGGGAGCGCGTCGCGCCTTGATGGGAAGCTGGCTACTGTTCTGCGTCGTTCTGTCCACAGCCTACACTGGCAAGTTCCTATCCGAGCTTCTCGACAAATGCGCCTCTCACAATATTCAAACAATCAGGGAACTCGTAAAATCGAACCTCACCGTCTACGTTCAGCCCGGCCTGTCACTAGACGTCGGCTACATCTTACACGGCACTAGCCTTGAACGAACACTCAGCCCCCCGTTCGAGGAGAGCTTGAACGCTGTGTCGAACCGGAGTGCCGCCGTCGTAGTCACGGAGACTTTCCTTCCGTTCGTGGCGCCGCATGTTGGGACAATGAAAAGCATGCACAAAGTTAGTGTTCCAACAGAATTTATTACCAGTCTGTTCCTGACAAAGAAGGGATCCCCCATGGGCAAACCCTTTGGCACGGCCTTGGGTCGATTTCGGGCTGCCGGTCTGGACCCAGTGGTCGTCAACCGATTCCAGAACGTGAGGGACACCCGTGCGTACAAGCTGGAACGCGTCAGGGCCCGCAAGGCGCCCAGAGTCACCCCGCTCGGCCCGGCCCAGCTCAGGGTGTGCTTCGTGCTTCTTGGCGGCGGCCTCCTCGCTGCGTCCATCGCCTTCGCCATCTAGGTCTTGCGGTGCCAGCTGCAGGGCCCACGCCCCTCTTGTGCCGCACCACACTGTGAAAATTTGCTGTCACTTTATGACAAAAACGTGGATTATATTTTCATCACTTTCAAATAATGACAACCTCATCACAAATTGATGACATTTTCATCAAAGCTCCTACACTCATTGCATGGACATGACAACAGTGTCATCAATTGATTTGATGACATCCTTGTAAGGAAAATTAGCCTTGAAATTGTCATCAAGTGACAACTCAAATTTTCACAGTGCACTTGGCCACCGTACCACGTTTGAGCGAGCGGTATTTAGGTGGCATTGCAGGTACATCTTTAAAGTTCGAGAGCTGTCCATTGATCCGCAACGAGCAGCCGTGAAACATGTGAGGTGTGTGGCATTGGACATTTCTGAGCTACAATTAAGTGTGTGCAGCTAAATGCAGCGAGCTCTTACGAGAAATTTCAATAACTTTTGTGCACGTAATCACTTTAAAAAAAACTGCATGGAGAATATCAAGCAACGATTGTAACCCTTGTTCAATACAATAAAAATATGGTGCAAACTGTCTATGGGTCGTTTTAAACCTCTGATAACATCACAATTTACTCCCAATTTTCTACTGAAAAATGCCGCGTGCAGTCATAACACTAAGCCAATTCGCCAATTCTCAATACTTTACGATACAAGTCTATCATAGAGACAGTACTAAAATGAAAGTGAGGCATCTGACTAATTTATGGTAAGGCCACACACAAGTGTGTGACCGAAGGACAAACTTTAACGTATGACCGAAAAGGTGCTTTTGGTGCACCAAGGGGTTGAAAGAGTCAATACACGATTTTGCTCTTCTCTTCCGTTAAAGAACTTGAAACTGCAAAGGACCAAAAATTTCACTGACAGAAAACTAGTCGTTAAATGGTCACGACAAACGCAGTTTTCTCCCCTTGTGGGAGTCTTAACAGGGCAAAACTTGCACCATTGTCCCGTGTTTTCCAGTTTCATCCAGTCACCTTAGTGTGCTTCCAATTGACAGTGAGTCTGAGGCCCCTGTTAATCGAGAACTCCTTTGAAGTCACAGAGAGATCCCGTTTTCTGGTCTCCTGAAAAACAAAGCGGATATACACATCTTTCATAGATTATTGGTGGAAAAAGACCGAGGGGGTAAACACTTCAAGAAATCGTGTACAGACTGCTCGGTACGCTGTATTACTGAGGTATTACACGTGTATTACGGCCTTAAAGTGCAAAAATTGGGAACATTTGACCCAGAAATGGTATTACGACCACGTGTATTACGCGTAATACACGGTTTTTGTGTACAGGGTATTACGCGAGTGGTTACCCCCTCGAAAAAGACCTTTCCGGGCTATACCGTAAAACGGGGTAGTATGAGACAAAATTTGGTTTTCCACGAATTCCACTGCCAGAATTTCAGTTTGAGGTGCTGGGATGTTTACCACTAGTTATTGCCCAAATGCTAATAGGCGTTTTAGAGTTAAGTGGGCAACCGTGGTGGTTTAAATTGCCTACGAAGGAGCTTGATTTGGTGTTTTCAACATTTTATGCCTACAATTTGAACCACCACGGAAGTTGCATTTTGAAATCTGTGAACTTGGAAGAATTTATAGTTACTTTGAATCAATATTGTTGTTTGATGCTCCTGTTGGGTTTTTTGGACATCGTTGACCTTCACTTTGTCATTTCGATTGGTTCCATCGTTCCAGTGTTATTTCTCCTTTTCAGTGATTTGAGTCATTTCTGCCCAGCACGATCCGCTAAGCTGAACCGTTTTTCACTGTTAAAAATAGTTGTTTTAAAACAACAACACAGTTACCAACCTCGACAACGCTGTTGTTTGTGAACAAGTTTGCTTGTTTTGAAACGACGAATTCGTTGCTAATTATTTTAATGACTTATGCTGTTTCAAAACAATATTTTGCTGCGTACAAGCAACCCGGACAATCTAAGAAGTGGTTACTGCGGGGTAACCGAGACTCTACTAGGTCTGTGACCTAATCGGCAATAAAAATTGATGCAAATAAGGCTGTCTATCGGTTTACAAACATCTTGTGGACTAACGACGCAACTCGTTAGTAAACAACAAAAGTCATTTGAAAACAACTTTGATCGCTAAGAAAATTAGCAACATATTTACTGCTAAATTACAACATAATTTTTAACAGTGTTGGCCAAAAAAACCACAGGTAGCTGCCAAGGCCTCAAAGATAAGGGAAATGCACGTTGGTCTTTCGAGTGATCGCTATAGGGCAGCGCAACTAAAACCGAAAAAAAGAGCTTTGTCTTGACTTTCCTCCATGTCTCATGTATGCCCGGTCTACGGTACCCCGTTCTTTGCACCGCCACCCTTAAAATGGTAACTTATACTCCGAAAGCCTCATAAACTATTTTAGACCTTACAAAAAACGCAGTTTATTATGTCAAAGTATTTTGAGCATACATAAGTTTACAAAGAAAATACTTCGTAAATTACGAACTATTCCTTCGAAAGACGAAGTAATTAGTATATCTACACTATGCTCAAAATACTTCATAAAGTTTTAAGCGTGTACATGCAACGAAATGGAATTGAACTCGATGTTGTTAATTCACGAGTAAACACTGAAGTTCAATCCCGCTTCACTTCAAATGATCTGGACCGTAAAGTGTGGCGGCGCAAACACTCGATCGCAATAAAAGCATAGCCTGGTAAGATCTACTTGAATTGTTCCATGAAGCGGAAGAAAGGGGATAACCTAATTTTCATCATTTTTCTGAAGGAACAAACTGCTTGCAGGGTCAACTACCCTAATCAGATGAATGATGCAGTTGCATTTTTGTCAGAAAAAAGGCCAAAAGATAACTGAAACTTTTCAAAAGTGTAACATCACTCTAGATGGTTACTGTGATCTACATCTTTACATTAGAATGGACTACGGAAGCATGTTCTCCCATACACGGTGGAATTGGGAGACAATTCAAGTGCGCAGAGACTACAGAATATAGCTATGGTACATTTTTCCCAACTAGTAAGGGGGAGTTAAGTTGGGTTGATACTTTTTACATTAGATTTATAAAGACAAAAGTTGAGTAATCTTCTCTTGCCATTTTGAGCAAAGGTTGAGTTCTCCATTTCCCGATGAAATTTAGACCGTAAAAGCGGTCAAGTTAAGTTATATCTATTTTTCATGTGGATTATCTCCCAAACTGTTATGAATTGGCTCAAATAGTTTGGTGTAATGATGCAAGCCATCCTGACGCACAAAAATAAGAAGAAACACTCAATTAGTCGAATTATTCCCCTCTTCCGCTTCCTGGATCAATGGGTCAATATGCTATGCTCACACAACTAACTGTTGTTCTGCACTGGCTCCACTTCCGTTTTGCTGGCAACGTTGTTCCAAGGCTGCACCTCGAACGATGAGAAGAATACCCACACCAAATTACCGATGTAGTAAATGCATGCAGTCAGGATGAACACGGTGTTCCACCGCGTAGTCACTTCCTGTCGGCAAAGGAAAAGAGTGAAAAGGTTTGCGCTGATGCGGCACTCAAAGGAGGAACTGCGGATAGGGCGGATAGCGCCCCTGCCCATTGTGTCACTCCACGCAGAGGCCCCTCTGCCTTAAGAGGGGCAGCGGAAGTTCCCTTCCCCCGCAGGCGAGGGCACTGTAAATCCAAAGGCAATACTTTTAGTACCTTTTTTGGCGATACAATTTAGTATCGCCAATAAACGGCCGCAGGGAAAATTATTGCCTTCAAAACGGCGATACACAAAAGTATCGCCAAATTTCGGCGATACTTTGGAGTATTGCCACGATTTGGCAATAAACGTCGAACAAGGGGTACAAGGGGACAAGACCTTGGTCAAATGCCGTGGTTTTGGCAATACCCAAAAGTATCGCCAAATTTTGGCGATACGTCTGTGTATCGCCGTTCTGAAGGCAATACTTTCCCGTAAGGCCGTTTATTGGCGATACTCAATTGTATCGCCAAAAAATGTACTTTAGTATCGCCTTTGCAATTGCAGTGGGGACGGAAGTGTGCACTTCATTTCTTTCTCTTTTCTAAGCACCTCCTACCTCGTGACTCAGGCTGTCCTCTTCCCCCGTGATTGCCCCCACGGCGAGCGGCACGACAACAGCTACGAGTGCACCAGCACCGCCCGAAACGCCCATCATGGCGCCGCTGAAGTTGGGCGACAGGTCCATGTGGTTGCAGAAGAAGCCGGCCAGCGTCCCCGCCTCCAAGGCCACGGCCACGCACAGCAGCGCCACCGCCGTCGCCTGGTCCACGTCGACCAGGGCCAGCACCAGCATGGCGGTGCCCGCGCCCCAGTGAGCTGCAAAAGCCACAAAACACTTTAGTCGAAAAGTTTTCCGAGGCGTATCACTCCCAAAAGCTCTTTCATTAGTTTCAAATACATTTCAAATACAGTTTCAAATAAATGAACCATTACTTTGTTAATGCGTTGAAATTTGCAAGTCCAACAACCCTATACCAAATCTGGGTATAGACACTGATTGTCAAGAAAGAACATTCTCATGGTTAAAAGAGCACCAAACCTACTAGAGAAAGCTAACTAATAAAACCACAAATCCACTTTTGGCTGAAGCATTACATTTTCCTCCAATTTAAATTCCTCACACCCCTCGTAAACTTGCAAAATTTGCTCGAAACCATTTCCTTATAAATTTTTAGTGCACCTTGAGTTTGGATCTCTTTGTTTGTGTTGATACTACCTAAATTGAGGGCAGGGAGGATCTTTCCTGTCACCCAAGATCATGTAAAAGCCCTAATCTTGACAAAAGCGCCCAAAATAGGTCAAAGTAGAAAATTGAAAAATTGTGTTCCTGATTTTTCTGGCTTAAATGGAAGGATTGAGCCTACAACTGTACCGAAACTTGGTACTGCCACTGAGACTCGAACCTGGGACCTCCGGGTTACGAGCCAGCCACCTTGTCCATTAAGCTGTGTGGCGCTTGTGGGCTCCGGTGAGCGTCGAGCCGACTACGTGCACTCTTAAAACCTCACGAAGTATTTTGAGCATACATATATCAAACTAAAATACTTTGTTAGAGCTTTGAAGAAATAGTTATAGAAGGTATTAGACCGCCTGTATAAAGAGTACGGAGGAGGGGGGGCCTAGGCCTAGGGGCTGAGGACCGAGGTGGCTGCTCAGCGCTGTTTATCGCTGTCGGGTTGGGTATTCGATGCCACTGTCTCTGCCACAACTGCTACAAACCGTGTCCCACGCTTGTAAGCGTGGGCAAGCGTGGGACACTTTGTCCCTCGCTTACAAGCGTGGGACACTTTGTCCCTCGCTTACAAGCGTGGGACACTTTGTCCCACGTTATCTAGTGCATGCCTGCCCCACACTTGGATTTTCAGTGCGTGAACTCTGAAAAGATTGTCTAAATTTTCAGATTTTTTTAACAGTGAGAATATTGATAAGAGGGCTCCAGAGAATCCTGTCAAAAAATTAACAGAATTTTCCGTACCTTTTTCCGACAGTAAATGGTTCCCTGAAATCCCCATTGCTGTGCCACCTACCTACCTTCGTCATTTTCTTTATTATCCATGGCAGAAGTCGGAATTCAACAATGTCGCCGCAGCGTTTGAGGACAACCATAGACCACTTGACTCGGTGGCTCGTAGCACTTGGACGATAATGGGGATCTGCGGAGCCACAGACTCACTCGTGGTGTGATCGGCCTGCCAGCGCTCCGAGCCAGCCCGAAGGAAGGGAGGGAGGGAGGGGGCTGTCACCAGGGATCCTTAACTTACCTCATAAGGGCATCATAACGTTATCGTAAGAGTTAAAGTTATTAACCTTAACTCCTGACATCTTTTCAAAAAGGGTAAGTTATTTTTTTGTGTTTTGAATTTGTGTAGAGATACTTTTGGAAGCACTTCCACAAGTCCGTACCCTTAACCTTTAGCGAACATTGTCTTATGTTACGTTATGAAAGCAGTGTTAGTTAAATGTTAAGCTAAGTTAAGGATCTCTGGCTGTCACGTGTCCACGCATTCACTTGTCACTGGGTTATGCAAACGATTTGACTGACCGCCTTCTGAAGGAAGCTGGATCCTCACGCCCTTAGGACCTCGAGAGGCTATCTACTAGATGGTGAAGATAAAGGGGACTTGCTTGCCTCTCTTTATCAGCGGAGATCAGAACCTATTGATACACGACTTGCGGACAGCGTCACGTCTAAGTGCTGAAAAAAAAACCAGGAAAAGTGGCACTTATCGGCAACTTTGGGCCGTCTCATACTGTGTGTGAAATGTGTGAATTTCGCCCATGTCCAACCCTTACAGGATTTGAACCTGAGTCTGGGTCAAAACAGACGTTATTTTCGTCATCAGCGCCCTCGGACAGTCAGAAACAATGCAAAAACTCAATTAAATAACAGGAAAAGTAGCGATATACATCGGCAACTTTGGCCCGTCCCGTACATTTCGAAATATGCGACTGTCGCCTATGTTTAACCCTGACGATTTTTGGTTTCATACCCCCAAAGCTCTGGCTAACTTTTGTCCCATTAGGACTCGAATCTGGGTCGGAGGTCGAAATACATTCTATTTACATTATCAGCACCCTCCAAAACATGTGAATTGATGTAAAACGTAACATAACAACATATGTCAGTAAAAGGTATTTTTTTTTGCCGTTCATAAAGTGTTTGTTGGCTGTAATGACCACGTAGATACGCTGGAGGAGTGGGCCGCTGACCGTGTTCTTCCGCCAAGACCGGAGGGACTATGTTGCCATGCTTTTCTTATGGGACCTGATTTTGAGGTTCCCAGTGCAACCTCATGGATGAAAAGTTAACAAAGAGAGCTGAATTATCGAAAAGACCGAGGGCCATTTCACAAGTTTTGACTCTTTAAATATGATTTTCCTACGAAATCGTCTTAATCGTGGCGCGGAGGCCCGGCAGCGCACCGTGAGTTTTTCATACCGGCTGGTTTGATGTTGTTGTGGAGGGAAACATGGTGCTGTCACTCGAAGCATTTGTGAGCTCCTTTGGGGATTGTAAATACCAAAAAATACGTAAAAGAGGGCATATTGCGTACATAGACAAACATGTTTTGTCATTTAATTTTGATCGGGATAATGGTGTCATGTTTGAAAAGGTTATGCCTAGTCAGAGATCCGGCTCCTGTGATGTCAAAGTAAGTGTCGCGTAACCTCTCGAAAAATGTGTTTCTGTCAACTTCAAGTGAAATTTACTCCTGGGTTTTGCATTGACAGGTGTTTGTTAAGAGATGCTATTACAGAATGCATGTGTGAATGTGCCAACGGCCAAGCACTTTGCCATCACATGATTGCATTTTGTTGCCATGCCATGAAAGACGTCTCCTCGGAACCTAACCTAACCTAACCCAGCTGATCTGGAAAACCAATGGAAGAATCCTCGGAACCAACAGCCTATTGAAACAGAGTCAAATTTATTCAGTACACACTTAATGTCATGGGACTTTTTTTGTCCCACGGTTTATGCAATTTTAAGCACATCCGGTAGTGATGCAATTTTGTGTCCGCCAGGCGGGACAAATTGTCTAGTGAAAGTACAAGTTGCAGCTGGCGCCGGACAAAATGTGTCACCAGACGGGAACAAAATTGTATCAGCGTCGGATGAGCTTAAAATTGCATAAACCGTGGGACAAAAAAAGTCCCATGACATTTAGTGTGTATTTTCTCACTCTTATCTTTCATGTCTAAATTTCTATGTTTTTCTTTTTGGTGCAGGTTAAGACGGTGAATGAGATTTATCAGCCTAAAGCCGTCCCTAATGTTTCTGTGAAGCCTGTCACAGAGGATGACATTTCCAATCTAGTGAAAAGAATAAGTGAAGTGTCGCCTTACTGCGGGCTAGCATGGATAGCTCAGCCTGAACCCACTGAAGCCGCCAAAAAAGTGTCATTCATTGTCTTTCAAGAAATTATTTCAAGTGAAAGTTTTCTTACGTGTGATGATCCAGCTGCTTATTTAGTTTCTGCTCTTCGTGTTACTAGAGCCCAAACTGATGATGTGGTGTACCGAGCTCCTAAGGTCGCCGTTAGGTTGGCACTGCCCGGCAGCGCCCCTAGCGGCGACCACTGGAAGCTCGGCCACACCGCGCTCCCCCGCCGGACGACAGCGGTCCTCACTTGCATTGACAGCATCACTTGGTGTAGTTCATTGTCCCTACTTGTCCTGATAAGTTCCAGCCAGTGAATAAGCTGAGGTACACGAAGACAATCAGAATCTACTCAAGAACACAATAGTGGCGACGAGGATGAGATTCAAAGTAAAAGTGACTGTTCTGTAATATATATTATTGGAGTATGCCTGAAATTCGTGTGTATGGTGGTGATTTGTTTCACATTCCAGGTTCAAAAATGGATTTTTCTGGACCCCAATGAGGCCCCCATTAATGATCTACAAGAGCAAATGAACTATGCTTGTTTTGAGCAGCGGTTCCTTCACAAGTTGTTCAATCCGATTCATGATCTACAAGATCAAATGAACTATGCTTGTTTTGAGCAGCGGTTCCTTCACAAGTTGTTCAATCCGAATGATCAATCAGAGGCTCTGGACTTACTCCGTGAGGTTGGTCTTTGTGTTTGTTTGGCAACGTCCTAGCGCAGCAGCGGACAACATAAATCAATCACTTGGCCCCGCCGGCTCAGCCCGAAATCGGGGCGGTACCGGAGGAGCTCCGGGACATGGAGTGTTTTCACCCAGGGTTGGGTGAATTCAAGGGGCAAGTGGCATCGCTCACGGTGCGTTCCGACGCCACTCCGGTGTTCCTGCGGGCCCGACCTTTGCCCTTTGCGAAGAAAGCGATTTTAGGGGCGGAACTAGATTCTATGGTGGCAAGGAAAATTCTGTCACCGGTGGAAGAAGCCGATTGGGCCACGCCCATTGTCTGCATAGAAAAGGCAGATGGATCGGTACGGATTTGCGGCGACTACAAGTCGACCGTAACCCGTTTCCTCCGAGCAGACAGCTACCCGCTGCCCACCCTACAAGAAGCTTTCGCTAGCCTCGCGGGGGGAAAACTGTTCACTAAACTCGATCTCAGAATGGCGTATAACCAGGTCAAGTGCGACGACCAAACGGCTCGTTTAAGGGGCTGTACAAAATGAACCGTCTGCCGTATGGAGTATCGAGGGGCCCGCCCCTATTCCAACGGATAATAGACACGCTCTTGAAAGGGCTTGAAGGTGTGGTGGTGCTTTTGGATGACATTTTGATCAGTGGTAAAGACCAAGCCCAGCTTAGGGCAAGAGAGAAGCAGGTGCTGGTGCGGCTCAAGCTGGCAAAATGCCAATTTGGGGTCACGCAGGTCCAGTACTTAAGGCATGTTATTTCAGCACAAGGGCTAGCTCCCCTCAATGATAGAATAGCCGCGCTCAAGGCAGCGCCGGCGCCAGGAAATGTTGCCCAGCTCCAAGCGTTCTTGGGCAAACTAGCTTTCTATGAAAGGTTCCTGGAGAACAGAGCCACTGTGGTGGCCCCGCTTTACCAACTCTTGAAAGAAGAGGTGCCATGGGCATGGGGAGCGGAGGAGCAAAAAGCGCTACAAAGGCGCTACAACCACTCAAGTCAGCAATCCGCCTGCCATCTGTTCCTTTGTAGCATCCCTGCCCCATCTCTCCATCCGAGGTCAGCTGGCCTCTAGAACCTCCTATTGAGCTATCATTAGGGAGAAAGGTTTTGTTCTTTTCCCTCCATTTTATGTGTTACAGGACTTCTGTGTAGCAAGAAGTGGATTGTCACTCAAGTAAATCGGCCGTCGTCATCATAGCAAGTTGTAAGAGCTGCAGAACACAGAAACCTTTGAACTTTAAAATTTTAATGAAGGAGTATTGATATGGGTCTGGAGGCGAAAAATCAAGAAAATATAGATTGAGAATTTTTATTACAGGTTCACTCACTTTCTTTGGTGTTGGATTCTATGGATACATATTTCACATTATTTTCAAACAGCATTCTAACTCAAACAGAAAACAGCGCTTTCCTGGGCACCACTAAAATGTCGTTTGTCTCTTCCACTACAAATGAGTTTGGTACAAAGATATTCTCCACTAAAGTTTGAAAATACTTAATGGGCGACAGCTTTTTGATCACAGCAAGAATGAGTTTCTCACAGTCACATTTGCATTTGCAAGAACAGCTACTTACATCAATAAAATACTGAATTGATCCTCTTTCAAGCTTGTCATTGAAAGTGAATTCTGCTGTACTTGAATCTCTACACTACATTTTTATTACATTTTGAAGGTAAGCCTTCATAAAAATATGGTCAACAAAACGGGCACTTTCTGTGCAGAAAATTAAAATAAAGGGATAAGAAACATAAAAATCATCACCTATGACAAAAGAGCTATGTTCATTCGCCCTTGAATCTTGACGCCTGTGCACATTTAACGAGAAACAGAAAATAAATGCATTTGCAACAGCACCAGTTGTCAATCAAGCCCCTCAGAAATGATGCTGCATTTTCTCACCTTGACATATCTTCCCATTTCTTAAACAATTTCCTGTCTATTGGAACATTTTAAAATTACATTTTCTATCGGTAGATTTGTGATTACACCCAAAAGCGTAACAAAGCATTGTGATAACAAGGTAGGTGTACGCCAGACCGCGTCTTGTCGTAACAGGCTTCGCGATGTCTCGCTGCGTGTTCCTCCAATCCGCGCCTGGCGTACCTACCTTGGCCTGCGGCGCTAGCCTGCCTTCGGCAGGCATTGACTTGTCCACCGTCGATCACTTCTAATTTGTTGCATGTTGGGGGACTCCCCCCCCCCTCACTCCATTCTAGATAGAGTTGCTTCATCTACAAATTACACGATCTTGACTCTTGTAACCTTTTAACATGTCGAGGCTGGGGGGCTACCCCCACAGACCCCCCCTTCCATCAAGACTGGGGAGATCTGCTTGCAGAAAACTTGATTTTTCGCTGTTTTTTAGGTGTTTTTCGGCGATATAAACTGAACCAGTTGAGCTAGGATAGTGAAATTTCGCGTGTGCCGAGGCAAGAACATACCTAATGACCGTGCTAAATCTCAGACAGATCGGCCGAGCCGTTCAGGAGGAGTAGTGCGCACACACGCACACAAACACACACACACACACCGACAGAAAAATATTTTTAACCCCACTGGAGTAACGGGCTTCGCTATCGCTCAGCCAATAACCGACAGGCACCTGCTCGGCGACAGCAGTAGACACGTAACGTTGGAAAATACGCCATTACGCGGTGCGAAATGTGGGTATGAAAAATACACAGTGCGTTTTCGGGGCGCGCCCCCCCTTTATTTCCTGATCATTGCGAGTTTAGGGGGTTGTTTAAGCGGTGAAGTGTTCAAAACACTCCTAAACCCTAGAAGCTCGTTTGATGTGTTTTATTGCTAAGAAAACATTATAATAGTCCCAAAGCATGCTTCCCCACGCTCCCACCGGGGGAGCCAGTCCTGGCGGACTAGCGCGGAGTGATACGACTCCTCCAGCGTATTGAGATGGAAAGCCGAATTTTGGTGCGTGGTGAGACAAGGACATACCTAATGACCCTGGAAAATCTCAGACAGATCGGCCGAGGGGGCGGTAACACTATAAGGTAGGTTTACGCCAGACCGCGTCTTGTCGTAACAGGCTTCGCGATGTCCCGCTGCCTGTTCCTCCAATCCACGCCTGGCGTACCTACCTTGGCCTGCGGCGCTAGCCTGCCTTCGGCAGGCCATGGCTTGCCCATCGTCGGTTACTTCTAAATTGTTGCATGCTGGAGGGCTCCGCCCCCCAGACCCCCCTTCATTCCAGATGTAGTTACTTCATCTACAGATAACACGATCTTGACCCTTGTTACTTTTCAACTTGCCGGGGCTGGGGGGCTCTGCTCCCCTGAACCCCCTTTCTTCAAGGCAGAAGGCGTTTGCCTGCAGAAAACTCGATTTTTCGCCGTTTTTTAGGTGTTTTTCGGCTACAAAAATAAAACCAGTTGAGCTAGGATAGTGAAATTTCGCGTGTGCCGAGCCAAGGACATACCCAAAACGTGTGCAAAATCTCAGCCAGATCGGCCGAGCCGTTCAGGAGGAGTAGTGCTGACAGACAGACAGACAGACAAAACTATTCAACCCCACCTGAGTAACGGGCTTCGCTATCGCTCAGCCAAGGAGGGCATCTGATTTTTGCAATTTTACGAAGAAAGAAATTTCTTTGCAAGTCTGCACAAAATGTCATATTTCCAGTCATAAAAATGACTGGAAAAGAAGCGATACACATCGGCAACTCCGGCCCGTCCCGTAAATTAAGAAATGTGCTTATTTCACCTATTATTCACCCCTCACGATATTTGATCCTGAGTTAAGGGTCAAAATAGATGTTATTTTCGTCATCAGCACCCTCAGAAACATCAGAAACAAAGCAAAAACTTGAATAAAAAGAATATTCGAAATATTACCTACTGGGATTTGAACCCGGGTCCAAACTTTTCCGATTCGCTTGAAACTGGCACCGTTAGTTTTGCCTCGTCACCCCGATTCCAAAAATATCCCAACATGCCCTTCTAGCTGCATCCGTTGCCGAAATCCTCCTCGACCCCATGTAGACCATGATGCACCTGCAGCAGCGCCCCCGGGGCTCGGATCGAATTTGCTTCAACCGGGCGGTTCTTAGGGTCACCCAAGGAGGCTGCGTTCGTCTCGCCATGTCTATTAGAAGTTACACCTTCTTTTGTTGACTACAGAGACTAGGGACTTCCCGGCAGATGCGGAAACCAATCAGAGTGCTTGAATGTCAAATGTTTTTAAATCTTTTGGGGCGGCAAGAGGGAGTTTACTGTTGCCTACTTCTTCACTTGATTTCAAAACGTACAAATCTCTGGGGATCCTTAACATACCCTTCTTTCATAACGTAACATTCGACAATGTTCGATAAACGTCAAGGTGGTTATGGATAGAGTCCTTAAGTGTCTGTTAGTTATGGGCTGTTGCAAGCACTTCCAAACACAAATACAAGAAGCTAGAATAATATCCTTTCCAAAATAAATCCTAAGTTACGGGTTATAACTTTGACGCTTACGATAACGTTATGATGCCAGGCAAGTGGAAGATTCCTGCATCTTTCATTTGTTTCTGGTGAACTTCTTATTGTAACGAAAGAGTCCTCCGCATCAAAGCCTTTTCACACTTTTTGAGTTACTAACATTCTATGGGTTCTTGTTTAGATTGTGTTTCAACCAAAATGACCTGTGGAATCGACCTTCCCACTTTTTGCAATGACGAAAGTCTCGTTAAAATTTGTCAAGGCACCTATTGAACGTACCACTTCCGATCCGTTGCAGAAAATACTCGCTTGCCCGTCGCCAATTAAGCCATTAAGGGCCACAAGGCCAGCGAGCACCGCCTCACTGCAAAGCTCTTGGACAGCTCTGCAAAAGAACAAAAAAAACATGAGGGATTGCTCCCTACCACACAGCAAAGCGGCAGTTTTTGTCCTTGGATATGATTTCGCCAAAAGCTGCACTCTCATTCTCTTTCGGTTCAAAAAGTCTGGTAGGGGGGGGGGCAGCATTTACTGTGCGGCGACCTCTCAGCGCCTCTCAGCCGTTCACGGAAAAAATCCCTTAGTTGTGACAGCTAATGCATTGGCTGATATCGGTCCAGCTAAGAATTAGCAGTCATGGTAACTAAAAATATTGCCAGCAGCATCAGCAATCATGCCAGGTCGCGACAGCCAACCACATTTGTTGTGCCAGGTAATCCCTCAGTTATAAACGCTAATAAATTTTTACTCCTCGTAAAATACTGAGACGGGGATAGAACCCGGGACTGCTGGCTGAGAATGTCGCTCGGAGGCACTGAGCCACGGGAGCACATGTCCGTGGCGTGTGGCCTGCCCCACTGTCACTCCGGGTGGAGGGCCGAAAAAAATACTTTGCAACTTTGATCGCAGTTGAAGTGAAGCTTCGAGGGACTGCATGATTTACACGTGCAGCTAGCCCCATTCGTTGTCTCCGCTAAGAACCCCACGCTGGATCAGCAAACGTGGCAGTAGCTGCCACGGCAAACACCATCAGCTGCGGCAGCAAAAGCATAATGGTTTTCATAGCTGAATCTCCTACTGTCTGCCTTAGCTAATTTAAAATTTGTAGCCACGGCAATGAGGGTTATGTTTTATAGCTAAGATAATGACTGCGGTAGCTGAGAACATTAGCTGGCGCCATATCAGCTAACACATTAGCTGTCACAACAAATGTTCAGCTGTAACAACTAAGATATTTTTTTCCGTGTTGAGTAGAATCTCCTATTGGGTGCTACTGCCTCACGCCGTGCACGACGGTCGCGCGACCAAAAACTCCACTTTGCCTCTCGGCGGGGTGGTCACGGCCGACCAGCCGGGTTAAACTCTAGCCGCGTGGACCCTTGTGAACATACAGCAGGAATTGCGGGCTCCGAAGTACCAAAGGAAAGGCCCCCTATTTCTGCGACGCTTACCTCGGCACGACCACTGCACCGGACCCGTGGTAGCCCGCAGCCTTAGAGCAGTACCGTGCTTTGAGCACCGGCTGCGTACCCTTCCGCACGGCATGTCCCTCTTCAAAGCAATGTTGGTGCGTCTGTAAAGATAAGCATAAAGGCAAAGAAAGTTACCATTGGGTTCGTGTTAATCCTGATTGTCACGTCAAAGATTTGTTTCGTCGGGGCAGAGCGTTTCAGAGCTGAAAATCGAGTCTGCTTCTGGGGAGCAAATCTTATGAACGAAATGTCACAGCAGGGTGGTATTTGGGCCAACTAGTTGAGCTTGAATCAACGCAGGGCACTGTTTTCTTCATTTCGCGCTCACAATTGTTTAAAGTGCCTTTTGAAGGTCCCAAAGCTGGTTTTTACTCTCTTTACACACAAACAAATGAAAAGTGGTATAGTAAAGGAGACGAGTATTGTGCTCAAAAATTTGTTTTGGGAGGATATTATTCATCTCAGAACTTACAACATGTACAGAAAAGACAATGGTATTATTTTGGAGTGCAAAAGTCCGTCAGTAAGTCGTAAATGGATTGTTTTTCGACTTTCAATTGAAAATTTTGAGAAAACGAACATGTAAAAACCGAGATTTCGGGGCCGGTATTGAAACTAACCCCATTTCAACCTCTAATATCTTTTCACCAATAATATACCGTTAGATGAACCATTACGAACATGAACTCCTATATTCAGTTAATATAAAACCTGGAATGTTTTTTACAACGCACAATGAAAAATTCGGAGAAATATCAGGTTAAAGATCGTGTTGAATGAGCATGTTCTGCTAGTGCACCAAACTCAGCATAAGTTATCCATATTTACATGTTGCAGGCTGCTGTTCAATATACCATTATACTGCCGACATGTTGTTTTCGCATTGAACGTGGTATGTAAAAATCATGTTCACAGCGTAGTCGCCAAGATGTTTTAGGCACTCGCAAGAAATATGGGGTAAGCGGTGGTAGCGTGGACAAGTGGGTATATTAATTGATTTATGATGAATTATTTGAATGCAAGCACTTTTTTGGTTAGGCGGCATTGGCATCGACAATTACATTTCATTGATTTTGTCATGTGGTTATAAAAAAAGTGACAAAATCAGTGAGACTGCGTACGCCACAGCTCGCCAGCACCTTACAGCAACATGCCACCACATATCTTCCCAGAGACAAACAACTCAACCACTGTTGTAGTGAAGGACAGGATTCACATTGCCATTTCCATGATGCATGCAACCCTGTTCGAGGCTACAGCAGACGATGGAAAATAGCCCCCCCCCCCCCCAGTCCGCCTGGACCCAGCGGCAAGGTCCGAATTTGCTGTCAGCCGGATTCCCAAAGTCCTCGGAGTATTCGCATCATTTTATGAATTTGCGATTCAGACATGGCCAACCTCTCGCGGTAACGAACAGAAGGCCGCGCTGCCCTACCGCTGCTGCGGCCTCGATTGAGCCACGGCCAGCAGTGCCCATTCACTTAGACCTACTTACTGTTATGTCGTCGGCGGAACAGTCACCCACGTCCTTCTTTGACCACTTTGGCAGAATCTCGGCCTGCGAGGCAAAAGAAAAAAAGACAATAACGCGAAAGCAGATAATAGTTAAGAGAATGTTAGTTTGAACGAAACTTTTACGACAATTAAAATAAACAAGCTGCATCTTTTCTAAGAAACTTCCATCAAAACAGGAACAATAAGACACTTAAGTCTTATTTTTGGAAGGTTCATAGTGTGTAGTCATTGTATTGTGTTTTCTTTCTGCGCCCTGCGGCTGCCAAAGAATTGTCTTTAGTTTTGGAAGGTAGATTAAAAATTTCAAGAGTTTGCGGTTTAGTCAGCTTTCTTGTTGAGGAGGGAACATGTAGCCAATGTTGCCTCTTACAGCCGGACGGCAGTGCCGACGAGTCTCCCCTCCGCTGCGCAAACCCACTACACTGGTAAGCAGGCCGTCAGTCAGTAGAGCGTCTGGGAAGTGCCTTGTAAGGGCTTGTTGATAGTATGTGGCAATATATCGGTTAACAACCAAACACTCCATTGATTTACCCTCCCCGGGATAGGGATCTACTACACTAGGTCTCGTCAAGACCTTTTCTACGAGGGGTCCACTGAAAAACCAAACGTGGTCTAGACTAGGGATGTGCGAATCAAGGATTTTCATTTCGAATCGTATCTCAGAAAAAAGTTTCGAATCGAACTCGAACCGAATCTGGAAAAAGTTGTCGAATCAAATTGAACTTTTAGAGATTTAGAATCGAATCGAATTCGAACTGAAACTAAAAAAAATTAGTGCGTTTCAAAACACATTTTCTGTAAAAAAGGAAGGGCATAGAGCAGGAATACAAAATGAAGAAAAATTAAATATCTGATCTTGCTTTGGCCAGGGGGTGGCAACGGCCTAGGAAGAGCGTGAAGCGATGCTCGCGCCGTCAGTGCAGAGGTTGCGCACTTGTTCGAGATTATGAAAACTAGACTGTGTTCTTCAAAACGCTTTGCACCGATGGAAAGGGCTTGAAATTTAGGGTGCATTAGGCTAATTGCTCTTCTCCAAACTCTCACCTTACCTGATATTAAGGTGCAGTTAAAACACCTAAAAACACGAGAAATCATAAAATTTAGGAAAAACTCGAATGCGCCATGTTGATGTAAATGGTTCCACCCTTGTGTTCGGTTGAATTGGAAGTATCGGGCAGTCTACTAGGCCTAATGCACCCCAAATTTTGTGCTCTTTTGATCGGTGCAAAGCGTTTTGCAATCAACGGGCTAGATCTTACAATCGAAGCAAAATAAGTAACCAATGCACCTTACTCGCGCATGGCTTCACGCGCTTCCTAGGCCGTTGCCGCCCCCTGCTTTGGCATTAAAAAAACCGCTATGTGCGCGACATTCAACCGTTCCCAAGCAACCGATTCGAAGACGAACCACTGTCGATTCGAAAATTTCGAATCACTCTACCAAAAATGTCCTGTCAATGCCGTTAATTTATTACCAGTTTTCACTGTAGGTCAATTCACAGCGTTTACTGTGATCTGCTCACGGGATTCACTGTGATCTTGTTCGCGGTGTTCACTGTGATCTGGTCCCCAGTAAACACTGTGAGTTTGACGCCGCTGAGCACCGAAGACTGCAAATCAGGCTCCAGTTCACGGCGTTTACTGTGGCCAGATCACAGTGAACACTGTGACCGAGATCACAGTGAACGCCGTGAACTAGTTCACAGCAAACGCCGTGAATTGCATAACAGCAAACATTGGTAATAAATTAACGGCGTTGACAGGACATTTTTTGTAGAGTGATATTCAGGGTCGAAGCAAAGAGATCCGTCCCTGAATAGGGTCTTGAGAGTGCGCACTGCCGAGTACTCGTGTACAGTCCATACAGCCTGTACACGACTCCTGAAGTGTTTACCTCCTCGTTAACGGCAATCACTCGGTAGACATCGGCGTATCGTCACATCACCATGATCTTTCCGTTTCTTTTGATGACCATGCACATTCATGTGTTTTGTTTCTGTTTTGGCGCTGCCTATGATTGGTAAGGGGAGGTGGGGTAGTGACATTTTTGGGCCGATGCCCGCCATCACGAAACTGACAATATTGCGGATCTATTCTGCTCGTGCCGACAAATGGAGGTCCCTTTGATTCAAAGTCCCGTTGAGCTCTTCATTTTATCTCGATTCGTTGCGAAGTTATCCCAGTTTGAATGTGTGCAAGTAAAAAGTCACATGGTGCCCCACAAAGTGCAAGGTTTAATGGACGAAAATGTTAATTTTGATTTAACTATTGAAGGTGAAGGTTCTATGCGAACAAGTTTCTCATATGCAACGCTCGACCAGCCGCCCTATCAATTTTAATCCCGCATTGTGATTGAAGGCGGAAACGCAGCACCAGAAGCCATGCTAATACGACAACCAATTTTAATGTTGAGGACCGAGGCGGCTGCTCAGCGCTGCTTATCGCTGTCGGGTTGGATATCCGAAACCACTGCCTCTGCCACAACTGCTACGTACTTCTCGCTACAACTGTTTAACTGCTATGTGCTATTGCTGCATATGCAATTGCCTTGGTATACGTCTGATTGCAAAACTGTTGGCTGCGATCGAGAGTGAGATTTAACAATCATCTGCTAAAAAGTTAGGAAAGAGGGACTGCGGTGAATGTGTAAAACGGCATTGAATTGCCAGCATGGTAGGTACGGTAGGCCAGTGTGCACTGTGGCAAAAAGGTACGGAAAATTCAGTTCATTCATTTGCCAGGATTCGCCGTACACACAAAATCTAGGTGCGTGCTTACAAGCATGCACTTCGAGGTGTGTACTTGCCTAAGCACGCATCTAGAAGTGTGTACTTGAATGAGTACAAACTTTAAAGTGTGTACTCACTGAGTACACACTTGCGAGGTGCATGCGCGGCATAGGGAAAACGCAAGCACTTCTCACACCTCGAAGTGCATGCTTGTGAGCACGCACCTAGAAGTGTGTACTGAGTACACACATAGATTTTGCGTGTAGCCCTCTAGTCAATATTCTCCGTAGGCTCTTACAGTATTCTCTGTAGGACCGCAAGTCTTCGCCGTAGGACCTGGAAGACTGTATAGTCCTACGGAAAACACTGTAAGGTCCTACGGAGATTACTGTCAAAGCCTACGGAGAATTACCACAAGCTGTTTTCAGAATTTACCGTACCTTTTTGCCACAATGTGGAACTGCCAGTATGCCAGTATGAATCACATATATTAAGCGCAATTACCGGGCTTACGTGCCCGGGTGATTCCGTGCGTAGGGGGTCATTTTGGATGTACCAAATGTTCTTTTTTAAAGTTCAACTTTAGGGGCTAAATTTGGTGTAGATGGCATACATAGTACCCCACAGTACCCCTCTGAGCGTGGCAGCGCTACAAGTTGACTTTTATTTTCACTCCCTATGAAATACGGCGGAATTTACAGAAATAATGACGGAATTTACAGATTACGGAATTTACAAAGCGAAGTTTTTAGTCTCCTGAACCGCTGGGTTACAAGATAGGTAAAAACTGTTGACGGTGTCATTTTCAGCATCCAAAATAGCATTTTTCAGCGAAGGTTGTGGGATAACTTTCTCCCTCAGATGGAGGAGCTACGGCCCGAAACGGAATTTACATCCATTTTTACACCCTTACCGTTTTGAACTCTTGTGACGGCCTGGAAGCGTCGTTTGACCGCCCCAGGTCCCGTGGGCACGGGCTCCTGGAAGTGTTTTTTATGTTCTTTCGATCCCAAGTGGTCGCGAGTTTCTAAAATGAAAAGGAACCCCAGTAGGCCGTCATTTGTAAAACCAGCATAGGTCACATGGTCACACGGTGGACATTTTCCCAAAGGCTGTTTCGGGTTCAACAAGTGATGATACAAAGGTCACCCTCCGTAATTTTGTGAAGAATAAGTCAGGGGAGAGAGTGAAATAGCCAGTTTTCTTTTGATGTGGCTGAGTCATATACTACAGCATGGCAATGTTGTCTTATAGGTGTTGGTGACCATGACGGAACTTACAAAACGACACTTTAGCAGCTTACGAAACCCAGATAAACAAAAGTTAGATCGACTTATCCACATGAGGACATGGTCTTCGTTTAGTAAAACAAATTTGAATTGCCCAAGCTACCAAATCGACCTCAGTTCGGGCGCAAGGCCCCGGTGACCTGAAATGACCCCCTACGCACGGAATCACCCGCCCACGGTTTTACGCGAGTGTCGTTCCCCTTGGCTGTCAAAGACACGGAAGACTTTGCGTACTGTCACTTCTTATTTCCGTTTCCTGAGAGCACCCACTTGCTTCCCGTCAGCAATCGCACGAGGAGATACGCCACTGTCAGAGACAAGACGACGTCTAAGTGGCGTGATAATCGGCGCGCATCGGTCGCGCGCCATGTGCGCCTCAGCCCCGGGTCAAGGAGTCTGGCGCGGCGAGCGGTAATATTGTAGTCACTACTGGTGCGCAGGCTGCTCTAGCGTCCGCCGCCTGCTGCATGCAACATGGCGCACACGGCGCCTCTGGAAGGTGAGATACAAGCCAGAGGGCAGGGTGGGGCAGGAGAAGAGGGGAGAGGAGGCGATCGTGTTAACGGTACTGTACCACTGCAGGGGCGTCGACGCGTCCGAATTTCAGGGGGGGGGCTCTCTGCCGTGCGGGTTGCCTACCTTCAGGCGTTTTTGTTAAGCGCGTAAAACAAGGCGAGACTTTTGTGTCTAACCGTTTTGTGGCGAGACTTTTTTGTCTGACCAAATTTTGGCGAGACTTTTAGATCTGACCATAAGTTGGCGAGACTTTTATGTCTCGCGTCTGGAGCGGCGAGAAGTCTGACCTTTGGATTTGTAGTGTTTTGGCCGAAATGTTGCCCCCCCTGCCCCCCTGGACAAAACGGGGCGGGGGGGGGGGGTGGCATGGAGCATTGCCCCGCTGCCCCTCCCCCCCGGCGTCGACGCCCCTGTACCACTGTTAATGGTTGCCGCACAGTGACTCACAGGCTGCCACGCGCCGCCATGCCGAGTGCACAACCCAGTGAACGGACACTTCTGTTATCGTCCCAGGCGAGCCGAAAATTGCTTTAGGATTTGGGTCGTTTCGACGCACTCTACTATACAAAAAATGCCCTGTCAATGCCGTTAATTTATTGGCGAGCGATAGCGAGCCCATGCCGTGTTTGGGGGTACCAAAAAGTGACTGGTCGTGCGTCTGTCTGTCTGTCTGTGTGTCCGTAACTCACTCACGTTTCTCAGCAACTACCGCACAAATAGTTTCAAAATTTCGCACCGGAAGGCTCCTAAATCTCCCCCAGGGGGAGTTTATCTTATATTCACGATTACTATTGTTTGAAATATTCAAAACTTCTTTTTGAATTAGGTTCTTAGCGTGGTTAGGTTGGCAGTGCTTGGCAGCTCGTAGCAATTTTTCATACTTGCGGCCGCGACTCTTAAATACGGGACCTGTCAAAACATTGGCAAATAAAACAAACTAAAGAGCAGAAGGGCTTAGAAGTGAGTACGGTCATAGTTTTTCGATATTTTAGAATGATTGAAACCCCTCCGGAGAGTCAACTCAGTGAAATACGGAAAATGAAAGTGACAATTATTACGCGTTTCGTCCGTCCGTCCACCCTCTCCCCTCCCCCACTACAGGGGAAATGTTTTAGTCAGTGGAGTGTGTTTGATAATTGCAAGAATGATTTGGTCTTTTTAACCTTTGTGGGTGTATTTCCATTTATATTCTCAGACACTATATTTTTCAGTTGTTTGCTTTGCTCAATAACAGTTAGAAAATATATTAATACATTCTATGAGTACAAACCAGATGCTAATCTTGCCAAAATAAATAGTCTTTGCTGACTCTTGGCACTGATTCTGGGAAAAGGCTTCATTGCAATGCTGTGAGTTTACTATAGTACTAACCTTAAAGAAAACCATATGATGAGTGAGTGTAGCGCATTCAAGGTTTGACATTGACATCAGATTCAATGAGACGATTCACTGACTTGGTCATATGATTTCATGAGACGATTCTTTTAACTTAATCATACATTGTCTGCGACAACTGGTAATTTGTGTTGGTCATGGTTTGAGTTTGCTTTTTTTTTTTAATTTACTCAGAATGTTAGGTAAATACTTTTGCTAAACTGTTTCAAAGATTTAATAACACACCATGACTATCATTATCAATAAGATAAACTTGCATTTAGCAATAAGTGGCCTCGACATTGGATTCTATGACACGATTCATTGGATCTGACAGAAGGTCTTCTCTGTAAAGTAGTTGAAATCAGCCTGCCTGTAAATATGTCTCTTTTTAATTAATGCAGATAAATCAATATAGTTAAATCCACTAGTTTAAACTAAAAGGGAGAAAGGCTATTTAGGGATTACTAATAACATTGCGTATTCATAAGTATGGTAATTGAAGTATTTGTGAATCGTATTAAGCAATTCAATGCTGGCTGTTAAATGTTACTCGACTGAGTAACAGGGTCAGGGTTCGTGGCATGACACTATGAACAGGAAACGCTCTTAAGAAACCTAACAACTGAAGACCCATACTTTCAACTAGAATTACATGATTTGCGACCAAAATTTCCTCGGTGTTTCATTGCTTTCTGCAGTATTTGGTGTGCTGATCACAAAAATGACTTCCAATGTCATCCCAGACCTTTACTTTTCCAAATATTTACCAATTTTGGACCAAAATTTTTACATCAAGTTTTACATAGTTTCCTGCAGTTTTTGGTGTGCTGATCACGAAAATGACTTCCAATTTCATCTCAGACCTTTACTTTTCCAAATATTTACCAATTTCGGACCAAAATTTTTACATCGAGCTTTACATAGTTTCCTGCAGTTTTTGGTGTGCTGATCACGAAAATGACTTCCAATTTCATCTCAGACCTTTACTTTTCCAAATATTTACCAATTTCGGACCAAAATTTTTACATCGAGTTTTACATAGTTTCCTGCAGTTTTTGGTGCGCTGATCACGAAAATGACTTCCAATTTCATCTCAGACCTTTACTTTTCCAAATATTTACCAATTTCGGACCAAAATTTTTACATCGAGTTTTACATAGTTTCCTGCAGTTTTTGGTGTGCTGATCACGAAAATGACTTCCAATTTCATCCCAGACCTTTACTTTCCCCAAAATTTACCAATTTGTGACCAAACTTTTAAAATTGAGTTTCACATTGACCCTGTATTGGCCTTACTTTGCATATATTCTTCACCATCTTCTACAAGAATACAGACGCATCGCTCGCCTACTACGCGCCCAAACAAATCGGCGCGTACCCCTAGTTACCAATGTTTGCTGTTATGCCATTCACGGCGTTTGCTGTGAACTAGTTCACGGCGTTCTCTGTGATCTCGGTCACAGTGTTCACTGTGATCTGGCCACAGTAAACGCCGTGAATTGGAGCCTGATTTGCAGTAGTTCGGTGCTCGACGGCGTCAAACTCACAGTGTTTACTGGGGACCAGATCACAGTAAACACCGTGAACACGATCAGAGTGAATCGCGTGAGCAGATCACAGTAAACGCTGTGAATTGACCTACAGTGAAAACTGGTAATAAATTAACGGTGTCAGCGTGAACCTATACCCCCTTACCCAGGGTTCTATTTCACTAGGAGGAAAGTACCTTGCCTAAGGGGAGGGTAATGATTCCCTAGGGATATCATACTCATGTAGGGTGGGGGGTAATATTTTCCTAGGGTAACTTTACCCCCTCTAGGGGGGGTAATAATCCACTAGGGGAAAAATACCCTCTCTCCGGAGGGGGTAAAAATTCCCTAGGAAAAAAATACCCATCACAGGGGGGTTATCATACACTAGTAATTTCTTACCCTCTCTCCGGAGAGAGGTACATGCCCACTAGGGTTAAGTTACCCAGGGGATCATAATTTACTAGTGAATTCGTACTTCCCCACCAGAAAAACGAGTGTGAAGATGAAAAAAAATCCACAAGCAATTAGAGAAAGCAAGTCATATACAAAATGAGTCAAAATAAATTCTAAACACAGAAAACAACTTGATTCACGAATTTTAATGTTTTCAGCACCATAGGTCATTTTTTTCTTAATTTTAAACTTTGCGAAATAAACGATGAGTTAGTCAGGTAGGTAGACGAATGCCCAAAACTCAGGAATGGGCGCCCGCTTTGGCTTATCCTTGGATTATGTAAAAATCCAATTTACTTTTTTTTAAATTGATTTTTCTGAAATTGCGTGTGGAACGTGTCTTTCAACACCTTAATGCTCGTTTTCTGGTGAGGGAGTACAAATGCCCTAGTAAATTATTAACCCCTAGGTAATTTTACCCTAGTGGCCATGTACCCTCTCAGGAGAGAGGGTAAGAAATTACTAGTGTATGATTACCCCCCTGTGATAGGTACTTTTTTCCTAGGGAATTTTTAACCCCTCCAGAGAGAGGGTATTTTTCCACTAGTGGATTATTACCCCCCCTAGAGGGGGTAAAGTTACCCTAGGAAAATATTACCCCCCACCCTGCATGAGTATGATATCCCTAGGGAATTATTACCCTCCCCTAGGGCAAGGTACTTTCCTCCTAGTGAAATAGTACCCTAGGTAAGGGGGTAAAGATACACGCTTACAACGGCATTGACAGGACATTTTTTGTTCAGTGTCGATGATGGCTCTAAGTCGTGTTCGAAGCAGATTAGAAGGCTCAGCAGTTTGTCACGCTCGTTTCAACGAGATGGGAGGGGGAAGTAACTTGAATTTTGATGTACGTTTTCCTTAAAACAAACTTGATATTAAAGATTTTGAAATAACGGTGTAATACTTTTTTGGCGAAGTAGTTGTTTCATACAAAATATCCAAGGAAATTTATTTGTTCATACACTGATAACAATTCTGTCGTAACTTAACGACACATTTATTGCTAATTTTTTTAGCGACATGTGTTGTGGAACGAATAGCTTATAAAACCTTAGTCGTACTGGAACTAAAGATAATTTCACAACGACCAACTTGTAATGACACATAAACAGTCCACCTTCAAAAACAAGTCGTTTACCAACAACAAATGTTGTTCGTCAACGACAAGTATTCTAAGATGAAAAAGATTTTGTAATGTCCGCGACAAGTATTCATTGAGTCCTTTGGCGCTAAATTTGTTTTTCATGATTCCACATGATAATAGTAGTTTAAGAACGAAATAGATGAATGTTCATAACATAAGTTACTTTGTAGCATGTCCTAGAAATATTTTTCACAGGAAGATTATTTTGTGGTCAAAATTCAACCACACTGCAAGAAAAAATGTGGATAGTACATCAAAAGTACAACAAAAACTGAACAATAAAAGTACAACAGGGATTGTAGAAAGTACAACGAGTATTGTACATACCACAACGAGCCCTGGACTGCACAGCACTCGTCATGCCGGTTCCAATGTACTTTGTACAACAATTGTTGTACTTGAAAAGTACACAAAATTCCTGATAAAAAATTTGCCAGAAATTTGTGTACTTTTGTTGTGGTTTTTTCCTGCAGTGCACTTATTTTACTTTACAATAGCCTTAATGGTGATAACAAGAGTTGACGGTAAATCCTGGATAATTGGCTGAGCGATAGCGAAGCCCGTTACTCCAGTGGGGTTAAAAAACTTTTTCTGTCTGTGTGCGTGTGTGCGTGCGTGTGTGTGTGTGTGTGTGCGCACTACTCCTCCTGAACGGCTTGGCCGATGTGGCTGATATTTTGCAGGCTCATTAGGTATGTTCTTGGCTCGGCACGCGCGAAATTTCACTATCTTAGCTCAACTGGTTCAGTTTTTATGGCCGAAAAACACCTAAAAAACGGCGAAAAATCGAGTTTTCTGCAGGCAGATCTCTCCCGTCTTGATGAACGGGGGGTCTGGGGGGCGGAGCCCCCCAGCCTCGACAAGCTAAATAGTCACAAGGATCAGGATCGTGTTATCTGTAGATGAAGCAACTCTATCTAGAATGAAGGGGGGTCCCCCCCCCAGCATGCAACAAGTAAGAAGTAACCGACGATGGATACACAGGTAAAACTAAAGCGTAGTATTACCCTCTGTTTTGAAGCGTAATCAGGTTACGTTACAAGATAATTGCAATTGATATTTTTTATTTATCATAATATTCTGCTATAGTGTGGCAGTGTAAGGGACTTGGAGGGAAAGGGTAGTCGAAGGTCTCGTGGAGACGGAAGCTTTCTGTATTATCAACAAGGTGACCGTGTACAGAATGGTGGTTGGCGCCAGACAGCGCGCCTTCATATTACAGATGCAGAAGAACATAGGGAAGAACAAAAGTGGAGAGTGGGGGTGCATGGCCAACGGGATTTAGGAAACAGGGTATTTGGGGGAAGAACAGAACGAAGAAAGGGTTGAGGTCCTGGCCAGGATCACTAGGGCAGTGGTTAGAAAACTGGGGAATGACCGTCAGGGGCCGTGCTTTGGTTATGTTCTCTATTGTTTCATATCATAACAATTCATTCTTTATTAATAATTATTAACTCGTATTTTATTTTTAAAAAAACACCTATTTTTAAATATGTGACCTAACGATTCACAGCAATGATGGGGCTTCTGAGGAAGCGGGTGGGAAACATTTAAGAGATCTCGATAGAGTCCTGTAATAGCGCCTGGAGGACAGGCAACCTATCTGGCAGCGGGGCGTGGCAAGCCACTGCAGTTGCCTATCTTCCAGGCACACAACGCAGGGCGAGCTTACGCTGAAGGTGCTTGCGCCGCGTGTGGAAGAGGTGGTTAGACGGTAAGCAGGCCGGCCGGCGAGGTGTCGCCAGAGTTGCCCAGAGAACCCTTGAGTGTCCCACGAAACTGCTCTCTGCGCGGCGCCAGCGGTGACTCCAGTTTCGTGGGTCAGTAGCTTGTCTCCGCCTTAGGACTGGAGCGTAGCAGTCAAAGAAGAAATCTTCTCTGTTCCCGAGACCATGGGGCGAAGCAAGGGGGCACCGGTCTCGGTCGTGCTCAAAGAGGCTGTTCCGGGGTGGAGGTCTATGTGACCCCTTTCGGGGGCACATAGGCCCCCAAGGGCTGGTCACACTAAGAGCCGGAGCGTGCAGCCGCTGAGGTTCCCTCTGCCGAGGTAAGGTGTAGAAAGGACGACCAGGGGCTGGCAACGGCCTAGGCGGCGCGTGAAACGATGCTCCCCGCTCGGGCCGGCGAGCGACGCGCGGCTGACCGCTGTGCACGGTGTCACTAAAATCAACATAACTTCATCAAAACTCCACCAAATCGAAAAACCCAGGTCATTTTCAGCATCTAGACAAAATTTCCGATTCATATGTGTCCATGGCTTACAGTTTTAGACCCGTTCAAAATGTTAAATCTAAATTTAAAATCACATTTACCGGCAATTTAAGCCAATTCAATGTTTTGCAACAACGAAAAAAATGATTTCCGTTCGTTTTAGGTCCATACATGCAGCGAGCATGTTGTTGGCCTCCATTTTCCCTGTTGCATAAGCATACTGGAATGCCGATATGACATCTGTGACGGTCACGGTGACCCATATTGTAATTCGCAAAATTAGACCAAAAGCAGTTATAGACTAAGCAGTTATACTTTTCGTAGCTCTTTCGCACTTGTTTATCGTTCTGCATTACGCTATACCACGCGGAATTTAATTCTCTATCGCCCTGTGGTAACGGTTTTTCAAACGGACGTTTCAGTTTTCACATTTGGAATTAGTTTTAAAACACTACAAACTAAACCTAAAAGTAAACGTATTTTGTAAAGCTTCACTTGAAGAAACTAGTTGTCGTATCGCAAATCTGACTTCACCACGTTGTAAAGCGAACAATTCTACAGGTCCCCGTCAAGTTTCATCACAATCAGATGATTAGTTACATGATAGCATTCAATTTTCGGCAACTATGATGAGATAACCGCCATAGCGATTTATCATACTTGTGCCGCGTGACCTGACTCGTCGCCAACCCAAGCGTCGTCTGTCTTTTGAAATATCTTTGAAGCATTCATACCAATCAACCGACTGATTCCAAGAAGCGGAAGAAGGGAATAACTCAATTTTCATCATTTTTCAGGAGATAAAAAAAAAAACAAAACAGTTTGCAGGGTAAAATAACCTCAATCAGATGAATGATGCAGTTGCATTTTTGTCAAAAAATCTGTGAAACTTTTCATAAGTGTAAAATCACTCTACTCGGTTAGTGTGATCTACATCTTTAAGTTAGAACTCGCGCTGCTCGCTGGGGGCTCCGCCCCCAGACCCCCGCATGTGTGGGGCGCGTGCCGAAGTATTTTCAGTAAGTCCGTGGTGACCAAAGGCTTTTCTAAGGAAGTAAATGTACTGCTTCTTTGAAAGGTCTATTTAACAGCTTTTTGTAGTAGGTTTTGTAGTGGTTTTTACTTTTCTTGGGGTTTTGGTGTTCGGCATCGATTTTCGCCAATCCGATGAGTGGATTTTATAGATAAAGGACCAATCTATCATACTACGAGATAAAAAGTTTGTGTACGCCGCGTAAAAAGCAGTGGCGCTGCAAAAATTGAAAAACCGTCATTTCTGGGTAGTTTTAGATCAGATAAGCCACCTTTCGCGTGACCTTCTCCGCCCCATATTCAGTCTAAATATTGTCCCAAGTGATTTCAGAGTTGGTGTGAAATTTCACCGCTGTAGCTCAAGTAGTTTGGAAATGGCAGCTTTCTAAAGTTTTGCAATCATGTAAGGCATTTACTTTAAGTAGAATTGCGGTAAATGTGAAGACTTGTCACAGATCGGGTAATAAATGAGATAGATGAGTGTGTCAAAGTTCTCTAAGCGTAATTTTGGACAAGGAATCCGATTTTGCTGGTTCGAAGACCCTAGGTGTACTCTAAAACTACGTTTTCGTGCAAACCACATAAAAATGGCCTTTTTTCCGACTTCAGAGTTCGCTTAGGGTCTTCGTACCAGCAAAATCGGATTCCTTGTCCAAAATTACGCTTAGAGAACTTTGACACACTCATCTATCTCATTTATTACCCGATCTGTGACAAGTCTTCACATTTACCGCAATTCTACTTAAAGTAAATGCCTTACGTGATTGCAAAACTTTAGAAAGCTGCCATTTCCAAACTACTTGAGCTACAGCGGTGAAATTTCACACCAACTCTGAAATCACTTGGGACAATATTTAGACTGAATATGGGGCGGAGAAGGTCACGCGAAAGGTGGCTTATCTGATCTAAAACTACCCAGAAATGACGGTTTTTCAATTTTTGCAGCGCCACTGCTTTTTACGCGGCGTACACAAACTTTTTATCTCGTAGTATGATAGATTGGTCCTTTATCTATAAAATCCACTCATCGGATTGGCGAAAATCGATACCGAACACCAAAACCCCAAGAAAAGTAAAAACCACTACAAAACCTGAAAAACAGTCATAACATCTGTTTGGGTTGTCCTATCGACAAACGGGCACCGGATTCGTGTTCCTCGCGTGATTTTACATAAGATACCACATTTTGAGCTCAATCGAGTGCTTAGAGGCCTCAGGAAGGTGATTTTTCAATTTTGGCCCTATTATGTGAAAAGTTGTCAGAGAAAACGAAAATTGCCCATAGAATCTAAACGGTGCATATTTCGGCCCAAAAAATTTGTGGCCTTTCTTAGACCCACAAGGACTACCTTTGACCAAAAAATGGAGGAAATCGGCGTCGGTCGTGTTCCACGATCGGACTTCTTTAAAAAAATGCCTCTAAGTGAGTCAGTCAGTCAGTCAGTCAGTCGCATTGGGGCTATATAGATTCTTGACTTGATGATGATGATTTTCCCAATTGCCGGTGGCGGGGACCCGACTGCGGCACAGTTTCGGAAATTCTCGACCAGACCTACCGACCGATAGGGCAAATAAAAATTTTTAGTCGGTCGATCCCCTTTTTTGAAGATTGAGTGGATGTTGTTGAATTTAGGCCTATTTAGTCGTTTTTGAGGATGTTGCCGGTGACGGGGACCCGGTTGCGGCACAGTTTCGGAAATGTCTTGACCAGACCTACCGATGGGGCGAATAAAAATTTTTAGTCGGTCGGTCCCCTTTTTTGAAGATTGAGTGGATTTTGTTGAATTTAGGCCTATTTAATAGATTTTGAGGATGTTGCCGGTGACGGGGACCCGATTGCGGCACAGTTTCAGAAATGTCTCGACCAGACCTACCAATGGGGCAAATAAAAATTTTTAGTCGGTCGGTCCCCTTTTTTGAAGATAGAGTGGATTTTGTTGAATTTAGGCCTATTTAATCGTTTTTGAGGATGTTGCCGGTGACGGGGACCCGATTGCGGCACAGTTTCGGAAATGTCTCGACCAGACCTACCGATGGGGCGAATAAAAATTTTTAGTCGGTCGGTCCCCTTTTTTGAAGATTGAGTGGATTTTGTTGAATTTAGGCCTACTTAATCGTTTTTGAGGATGTTGCCGGTGACGGGGACCCGATTGCGGCACAGTTTCGGAAATGTCTCGACCAGACCTACCGATGAGGCGAATAAAAATTTTCAGTCGGTCGGTCCCCTTTTTTGAAGATTGAGTAGGTTTGCTCGGAAACGGTGAGAAATTTGTTCCCCTTTTTTGAAGATAAAGTAGGTTTTCTCGGAAACGGTGAGGAATTTTCAACTTTTGGGATTTTTCCCAATCTAACCATAAAATTTGGAATCGAATGGAAAAAACCGCAAGTCTCTACGACCACTCCTTCACCCCAAACATTTCTATGAGTGAGTGAGTGAGTGAGTGAGTGAGTGAGTGAGTCAGTCGGATTGGGGCTATATAGGTTCTTGATGATTGATGAGTGAGGGAGTCAGTCAGTCGGATTTTGGGGCTTTATAGGTTCTTGATGACAATTGATGATTGATTTTGAGTATGTTGCCTGTGACGGGGACCCCATTGTGGCACAGTTTCTGAAATGTCTCGACTTGATCTACCGATTGGGCTAATAAAAATTTTTAGTCGGTCGGTCCCCTTTTTTGAAGATTGAGTGAACTTTGTTAAATTTAGGCCTATTTAATCGTTTTTGAGGATGTTGCCGGTGATAGGACCCCGATTGCGGCACAGTTTCGGAAATGTCTCGACCAGACCTACCGATGGGGCGAATAAAAATTATTAGTCGGTCGGTCCCCTTTTTTGAAGATTGAGTGGACTTTGTTAAATTTAGGCCTATTTAATCGTTTTTTAGGATGTTGCCGGTGACCAGGACCCGATTGCGGCACAGTTCCAGAAACCGCTCGACCAGACCTACCGATGGGGCGAATAAAATTTTTTAGTCGGTCGGTCCCCTTTTTTGAAGATTGAGTGGACCTTGATAAATTTAGGCCTTTTTAATCGTTTTTGAGGATGTTGCCGACGACGGGAACCCGATTGCGGCACAGTTTCGGAAATGCCTGGACCAGACCTACACTGTGGCAAAAAGGTACGGAAAATTCTGTTAATTTTTTTGCCAGAATTCTCCGCAGCCCTCTTATCAATATTCTCCGTAGGCTCTTACAGTATTCTCCGTAGGGCCGCACAGTATTCTCTGTAAGTCCGCACAGTCTTCTCCGTAGGACATGGAAGACTGTATAGTCCTACGGAGATCACTGTAAGGTCCTACGGAGAATACTGTGCGGTCCTACAGAAAATACTGTAGGAGCCTACGGAGAATATTGATAAGGGGGCTACGGAGAATTACCACAAGCTGTTTACAGAATATTCCGTAGCTTTTTGCCACAGTGTACCGATGGGGTGAATAAAAATTTTTAGTCGGTCGGCCCCCTTTTTTGAAGATTGAGTGGATTTTGTTGAATTTAGGCCTATTTAATCGTTTTTGAGGATGTTGCCGGTGACGGGGACCCGATTGCGGCACAGTTTCGGAAATGTCTCGACCAGACCTACCGATGGGGCGAATAAAAATTTTTAGTCGGTCGGTCCCCTTTTTTGAAGATTGAGTGGATTTTGTTGAATTTAGGCCTATTTAAACGTTTTTGAGGATGTTGCCGGTGACGGGGACCCGATTGCGGCACAGTTTCGGAAATGTCTCGACCAGACCTACCGATGGGGCGAAAAAAAATTTTTAGTCGGTCGGTCCCCTTTTTTGAAGATTGAGTGGATTTTGTTGAATTTAGGCCTATTTAATAGTTTTTGAGGATGTTGCCGGTGACGGGGACCCGATTGCGGCACAGTTTCGGAAATGTCTCGACCAGACCTACCGATGGGGCGAATAAAAAATTTTAGTCGGTCGGTCCCCTTTTTTGAAGATTGAGTGGATTTTGTTGAATTTAGGCCTATTTAATCGTTTTTGAGGATGTTGCCGGTGACGGGGACCCGATTGCGGCACAGTTTCGTAAATGTCTCGACCAGACCTACCGATGGGGCGAATAAAAATTTTTAGTCGGTCGGTCCCCTTTTTTTGAAGATTGAGTGGATTTTGTTGAATTTAGGCCTATTAAATCGTTTTTTTGAGGATGTTGCCGGTGACGGGGACCCGATTGCGGCACAGTTTCGGAAATGTCTCGACCAGACCTACCGATGGGGCGAATAAAATTTTTTAGTCGGTCGGTCCCCTTTTTTGAAGATTGAGTAGGTTTGCTCGGAAACGGTGAGAAATTTGTTCCCCTTTTTTGAAGATAAAGTAGGTTTTCTCGGAAACGGTGAGGAATTTTCAACTTTTGGGATTTTTCCCAATCTAACCATAAAATTTGGAATCGAATGGAAAAAACCGCAAGTCTCTACGACCACTCCTTCACCCCAAACATTTCTATGAGTGAGTGAGTGAGTGAGTGAGTGAGTGAGTCAGTCGGATTGGGGCTATATAGGTTCTTGATGGACTACGGAAGCATGTTCTCCCATACACGGTGGAATTTGGAGACAATTCAAGTGCGCAGAGACTATATAGCTATGGTACATATTTGGTACTTTTTCCCCAACTAGTAAGGGGGAGTTCAGTTGTGTTGATACTTTTTACATTAGATTTATAAAGACACAAGTTGAGTTATCTTCTCTTGCCACTTTGAGCAAAGGTTGAGTTCTCCATTTCCCGATGAAATTTAGACCGTAAAAGGAGTCAAGTTAAGTTATAACTAATTTTTATGTGGATTATCTCCCAAACAGTTATGAATTGGTTCAAATAGTTTGGCATAATGATGCAAGCCATCCTGACGCGCAAAAATAAGAAGAAACACTCAATTTGGAGATTAGTCGAATTATTCCCTTCTTCCGCTTCCTGGATCAATGGGTCAATATGAAATGCTATGCTCACACAACTAGCTGTTGTTCTGCACTGGCTCCACTTCCGTTTTGCTGGCAACGTTGTTCCAAGGCTGCACCTCGAACGATGAGAAGAATACCCAGACCAAATTGCCGATGTAGTAAATGCACGCAGTCAGGATGAACACGGTGTTCCACCGCGTAGTCACTTCCTGTCGGCAAAGGAAAAGAGTGAAAAGGTTTGCGCTGATGCGGCACTCAAAGGATGAACTGCGGATGGGGCCAGTGCGCCCCTGCCCATTGAGTCACTACAGGCGGAGGCCCTTCTGCCTTTAGCACAGTGCACTCTTAAAGGCCTACGAAGCATTTGCTTCATAACTTCAAAGATAATGGAAGGTGTTGTAGAATTGCTTCGTTTTATGAAGAAATGCTTCGTATTGCGAAGGATTTTGCTTCATACATTTATTTCTTCGTAGAGTTTTTACTGTGAGGGCGGGCGACCAACACACTATTTAAAGCCTACGAAGCATTTGCTTCAAAACTACAAAAAAATGAAGTCATTGTTGGAATTGCTTCGAATGAAGGAATGCTTCGTATTACGTAGGATTTTGCACGTCATGCCGTTTTCCGGGGTGAATTTCCAGTCACGCCAATTGTTGGCGGGATTTTGGGTCACGCCATAATTGGGCCATGTGTCCTACCATTCTATTTTTCAGTGGATACTTGTGAAGATGCACTCCGAAAACCTTACAAACTATTTTAGGCCTAACAATGAAACGCACCTCGTTTTTACGAAGTATTTCAAGCATACATAAGCTTTACAAAGAAAATATTTCGTACTTTACGAACTATTTCTTGGCACAACACAGTGAAATGGGTTTTTACTATGTATGCTCAAAATACTTCGTACGGTTTTCAGCGTGTGCTCTTGTATATCATGAAAGATTTGCCAAAACACTGAAGAACTCCGTCCTAGCACTGTACGCAATACATAGATCACTATCGACGGAAAAACAATATCTTTTTCCTGCTGAGCGAATTGAGGACTACCGCGCATGGATGGGTTTATGGCATTTGGATTAGATAGGGAGGAGAGAGGCACAAGCCGTATCGCTGAGGAATTTAGGGCAATTAGTAGCGCGAGTAACACCTGACACCGCAGTGCCTCTCATCGCACCACCAATGATGGCCTGCCGTTTCAAAACTGATCGGCAGCACATTCACTCTTTTAAGCCTAAGAAGCATTCGCTTCATAACTACAAAGAAAATTTGGGCATTGTAGAATTGCTTTATGAAGAAATGCTTCGTTTTGCCAAGGCCTGCATTTTCTTTCTATTACTAAGTGATTCCATGTAGGGAGTTTTTACTGTGTTCTGGAGGAGCTAGAGCCAACAGTCCTTCCTCAGAAAGTGGACGGGCGCGTCGACGTTCATAACCAGGCTCCTTTTCAACTTCTAACGGGGCAATTGGCTATACCGCTGCTTGGAAAAGATGGAGAAACGAAGTGCTCAACTTCTGTTCCCTCGCCTGCAGGGGGTTGAGGGGCAGCGGAAGTTCCATCCCCCCGCAGGCGAGTGGACGGCAGTGTACACGTAAGTGCAAGAAAAATTGTGAATAGTACAATAAAACTACAACAAAAACTGTACAATGAAAGTACAACAGGGATTGTAGAAAGTACAACGAGAATTGTACAAACCACAACGAGAGAGATGCAGCACCGCCGGTTCCATTGTACTTTCTAAACCATTTTGTACTTTGAAAGTACAATCAATTCCTAATAAAAAATTTGCCAGTAATTTGTGTACTTTTGTTGTTGACTTTTCTTGCAGTCTTCTTTTCTTCCTTTTTTTCCAAGCAGCGGAACAGGGCCTTCTCCCCCCTACCTCGTGACTCAGGCTGTCCTCTTCCCCCGTGATTGCCCCCACGATGAGCGGCGCGACAACAGCTACGAGTGCACCAGCACCGCCCGAAACGCCCATCATGGCGCCGCTGAAGTTGGGCGACAGGTCTATGAGATTGCACAGGAAGCCGGCCAGCGTCCCCGCCTCGACGGCCACGGCCACGCACAGCAGCGCCACCGCCGTCGCCTGGTCCACGTCGACCAGGGCCAGCACCAGCATGGCGGTGCCCGCGCCCCAGTGAGCTGCAAAAGCCACAAAACACTTTAGTCGAAAAGTTTTCCGAGGGGTATCACTTCTAAAAGCTCTTTCGTTAGTTTCAAATACATTTGGGCAAATAAAATAGAAATATTTGTCCACATTTCAAGGGGTTCTTTTCAAAAGATCTTATCTGGGCGTTCCCCCCAAAAGAATCTTAACTTAAACGCAGGTGCATTTCACTCAGTGTCATCATTTGATACAGCTACAAATCAATATAATTTGTGATTTTATTTAATTATATCTGAAGATGAAAGATCAAAGAAACCAATAGGGCATGTAGAATTTTATTCCGCTTACTCTCGCATCCGTCCCAAATGGTCACAATGAGTGAAATTCGCCTGCGTTTAAGATAAGATTCTCTTGAGGGGGAACGCCCAGATAAGATCATTTGAATAGGACCCCTCGATCTTCTTCTTCGATCGGCGACGACCAGAATGCTCTATTGCGTCGGCCTGGCATGTACACTACACGGCCACCCTCTATTTACCGCTAATCATACTGTGGGACAAGTACACATGCAGGCGTTGAATCTGTCTCAGATTTTGTGCACTCGCGTATCATTTCAGAGAAAATCAAGCATTCTTGCCTTGCGTTTGAGTTAAACAAATATACGTTCAACGATATTTTGTTTGAGCACGAAAAAATGTGCAGCACTCACCTGCAGACTGGAAAATCTTCCTCGACATCTGGAGTGAGAGCAGCCGTCGTGTGTTGATCACCTGACTGAGCCAGGCGACGAGCAGCGACGTGCCGATGAGGCAGAGGTACGGGAGTGCCGAGTACAGCCCGTTGGCCTGGATGTTGAACCGCTGCACAGCCTTCATGTAGTCGGGCATCTCGGTGAGCAGCATCCAGTGGCCCCAGTTGTGCCCCGAGTGCACCACGATGAGGGCCCACATGGGAACGGACGTCATGATGGCCCGCCAAGGCACCGCCAAATGCTGCCAGGCAGACGTTACGAAGCTTTCAAGACCATGTTGACCACACTGGTAAAACTTAAGGCGGGACCCCGGTGGCCGTTCACCCGCGACGGCTAAAGGAACTTAAAAAGTGTATTGACGGGAGTCTCCTTTTGCGAATACTCCTTGCCATTTTCGTCCTGGTAATGTAGCACTTTCCCGAGAGATGGCACCACAGTCAGGTACTTCCAAAAAATAAAATGGTCCTAGTTCAGGGTGGAAAGTCCTATACCTGCCGTGCATTTTTGGCAGTGACGGACAGCGCGGTGCGTTTTGACAGTGTCGATGGCCAGACAGAGCGGCGCGGCCGGTGCGGCCCGGGCCTCGCCGTGCGCTCCAGACAGATGTCATTGTCCATCTCTGTCTCACCCGTGCAGTGCAAGCGAGACGGCCGAGGGGGGGACTGGAGGGGGAAGCAGTGGCCGAAGAGCGAGGCGCGCGGCTGGCCCTGGAGTCCCACGCGCTCCAGTTTCCAAATTTAAAATTTGAATGTGACTTCTAAGTTGTGGCGGCTGGGTACCAACAGTTTCCTTTTTCTTTCACGATCATTTTGACACCAGTCGAACAACGGATTGTAATCGGAGATAAAATTTCTCCTACGACCTTCAGACTCTCCCATCGGGCATCGTGGATGAAACGTATGACCCCTTTCCCCTTACGCCACCCTTTTCGCCAAATTCTGGCCAGCGCGACGCGTTCAAGTCGTGAGGAGCTCGATGGGGGACTGGCTGGATCAGAGTCCGAGGCGGCCCGGCGGCCTGCCGGGCGCGCTCCGGGTCCTCGTCTGCAGCTCCGGCTTAGCGCGGGGGAGCGGGGGAGGGGGAAGGCGGCGAAGACAATGCCCAGCTGCAGGTCAGCTGTCAGTCAAAAATGTGTCGCGCCGCACCGCCTGGCCTGCACAGAGTTCCGATACCTGCCACTGCGCCACCGTCCAGAGCCCCGCCAGTCGACCGCCAACTTCAAAACGAAGAGAATGAGCCGAAAACAGTGTCTTTTTATTTCAGTTCGATCTCAAGAACCATCAGTCGTAGGGTAAAAAGGCTTACAGAATATTGAAGGGGACATCAGGGCCTAGTGAAATATGTATATGGCGATTCATGAAACTGATCCGCTGTCTGCAAAATAACTCAGTGAACATTGGCCGAAAATTAATCAACTTTAAACACCTATTTCAATGCCTAAATATTATCTCACGAACTTCGCGCATACATATTTCACTAGATCTTGCCGTCCTCTTTACGATTCTGCAACGCAATTGTCTCTTGGACTCGTACTTTTTGAGATCGAACTGAAATAAGATTGAGTTTTTGAATGTTCAATAACTTCGTTCAAAATTGAACCAGCCCCAAAAAAATTTAAAGGGAGGTTCCTTTATGCGTCCCGAACCGGTGTACAAAATTTTAGCCGGATCGGAAACCTTTAACAATAGCCCGGGTCCCGCCTTAAGCGTAGTATTACCCTCTGTTTTCAAGCGTTATCAGTTTACGCTTGAAAAAAATCGTAACAGACTTCCCCGCCAAGATTCCCCCTATCTAAATGCAGGGGGAATTTCCAGGATCTGCTTGTTTTCAACCGTGTCTTCAAGCGTAACTTTATGCTTGACTCAAGCATGGAGTTACGCCTTAGTTTTACCAGTGCACGTCGTGCCGCAGAATAGCAAGTCATTTGGATATCTCTTTGTTTCAAAATACACAACCAATATCCTACTGAGCTTTTTCTTCGTAATATATTAATATACGAACACGAACGTTATATACGAACAAAAAGCTTAGTATTATGACTGCGCAGCGAAGTTATGGTGAAGACTTCTCAGTAACTTATGATTACTTTCTTCATATAACGAACAAATTTCTCTGTATTATGGCAGATTTGTGTCGTGATGTACTACACTGTAAAAAATTATTGTGAATTTACGAAATTTTTTTTTACAAATTCTCTGTAAAGTAACAATAACATTTCGTTATTTTATGAAATTTATTCGTAGAGGCCGTTTTATGAATTATTCATCACAGAAATCTTCTTAATTTTATGAAATTTGTTCGTGAACACCGCCTTATGAAATGGTACGAACAAAATACATCTCAAACGTGACTAAAATACTACAACAATGTCACAAAAACATGAAAAGTTTCCTAAAATTACAACAAATGCTTGGGTAATTTCGTTGCACAAATCGCTTGTAAGATTACGAGATATGGTGATGCCTTCATCATTTTACAAGATGTTTCATAAAACAAAACGAAAACGCTGAAATAAGTAAATCTCCATTTAATCAGCGTGACAAGGTAGAACAAAAGCGGTCCACGTCATTTTGAGCGTGTAAAAAGTTTGTAATTTTACAAATTACCGCGTGAAGAATAATTCATAAATCGTTAAGAAACAAAAAGACGTTGTAAATTTACAGATAATTTGTGCAACGAAATTACCCATAAATTGTTTGTAAATTTACGAACTAATTTTTTACAGTGATAAGAATAAACTCAGTATTATGGCTGAACGGCATTTCTCAGAAGGAAACTAGGAGTGTGATGCGACGGTGTGACGCACACGTCATGTGCCTCGGCGTAAATTTCCTGTCACGCCAATCCATGTGTCCGACCATTCAATTTTCAGTGTGCACTCTCAATTTCCTACAGAGAAATGCCGAGCAGACATAATACTAAGCTAATTCTCAGTACTTTACGACACAAATCGGTCATAATACAGAAAAATTTTGTTCGCAATATGAAGAAAGTGGTCATAAGTTACTGAGAACTCTTCACGATAATTGTCAATGTTGCACGCAGGCCGTCACGCGCAAGGAGGGGGTGCCATTGTCGAATTCCGCGCGGGCTGTGCCACAGCCAGGCGCAGCAGCCAGCCAGACGCACCATCCCCGCCCCGGCAGCCAGCCCCCATTATATTGTTAGGTTTTTGGACTCTCGAGTAAAAGCTAGCAGACACCTTTATGTGTCTTATAGTTGCAGTAGTTTTAGGGATGTTTTTAAGTAAAGGTATCATCTGCTAAAAAGCTCAGTAGGATATTGGGAGTGTGCAAGACCGGTAAAGACATAGGCAAGAGAGTTCCGGATGAAAACAGTACCCGTTTTTACCGTGCATGCTGAGCGAAGCTTAGCTTAGGCAGATGCTTGATTTTGCATAACTTCGGGCTCAGCTGTGCATGTGCACACAATTTTGGATGATTAAGTGGAATGCTCGTACCTCTTCCTTGCTGCTCGTGTCTCCGAAGGACTCCTCGATGTACTCGCGCTCCTCCCGGCTGACGTGCCGACTGGACGCGGGCGCGTTGGCGGCCACGACCACCCAGACCACGGCCCAGGCCAGGCCCAGCAGCCCGGGCAGCCAGAATGCGGACGGCCAGCCGAGCCCCGGCGTGGCGGCCAGCAGCCCCGAGCTGGCCATGCCCACCACCGTGCCCACCGACATGCCGTTGTACGTGAGCGCCGTGTGGCCCGAGCGCTCGCCCGGCGGCGACCACCGGCTCAGCATGGCATGCGTCGCCGGGAAGATGGCGCCCTGATCGCAGAAATGCCATCGTCAGCAATTTTTGGCCCGCCCTTCAAAAAATAGGAGGAGCACGGGGTAAAAACGGAACCGGGTTTTCCTGAGAAGCCTATGGTAGAGACATCTATGTCCTACAGGTTATTGACTCTTTGTCAATAGCAAATTGACTTTCAGTCAATATAACGAACAAAATCTCAAATGGATATTGAGGAAATAGTACTTTTTATTGCTGTGTAGATAAACTCATTAAGAAAGGACAAAAAGTCAATAGCAGTCTGAGTGTGTAAAAAGGGTGGTCTTGACTACGCAATACATGAGGCAACGGCTAAATTACAAGCCTATAGGCTCGTACACCACTTTTTTGAAGGGGTGTAATTCTTGCCACATTTGCACGTGGGACAGAACGAGGTAACCATACATTAGCCAGCCGAATGGGGTGAATTCACCACACTTTCGATTTCAGTGTTTGCACGGAATTCTCACTCGCCTACCTGCAGCAGCCCCTGCAGGACGCGGCTGGCGGTAAGGAGCTGCCACCCTCCCCAGTCGGCGACTAGCGGAGTGACGGCGCTGAGTGCTGCCGGGCCGGACACGCCCGCCAGCATCAGCCACTTGGGCCCCAAGCGCGCCGTCAGGTAGCCGGAGGGCACCTGCGTCACCACGTAGCCCCAGAAGAAGGACGACAGCACTACGTGCCGCTCCTCGCTGCTCCAATCGTAGGTCTGCGGAGGAAAACGTCCTTCAGCTCAGGGAAGAAGGTTGGTGCTGACACTCTGTAAAGGTCAGCTGATCACTTGTTCCAGCCCGAGTGTTGCGCAAAGTTTGTAAAATGATGTACACTGTGGCAAAAAGCTGGGTAAAATTCTGTAAACAGCTTTTAGTAATTCTCCGTAGCCCCTTTGTCAATATTCTCCGTGGGCTCTTACAGTATTATCCGTAGGACCGTACAGTGTTCTCCGTAGTACCTAGTGTTCTAAGTAGGACTATACAGTCTTCCAGGTCCTACAGAGAATACTTTACGGCCCTATGGAGAATATTGTAAGAGCCTACGGAGAATATTGATAAGAGGGCTACGGAGAATCCTAGTAAAAAAATTAACAGAATTTTCTGTACCATTTTGCCACAGTGCAGCAGACTCAGAACAATTGTTGTGAATGCTCATGCACTGTTTTGTTCATAATTGAACGCAAAACTTTATATTGACAAATTCTAGGGACAATATTGCACTCACAGTGGAAACGTTAAGCGTTGCTCAATGTAGGGTCAGTGCGGGGAAAAACTGGACAGGGGAAGAACTGGACACCCCGCATTTTACTTCAAATGCCGTATGTACTGGCCTGTCAACTGTCATGTAATGAACCGCTGATGCCACGGAACAACTTTTGATAGATGTTATTCCTGTGCCTACGGTATTTGAAGTTAAATATGGGGTGTCCAGTTCTTCCCCTGTCCATTTTTTCCCCGCCCTGACCCTACCTATAATTGTCCATGGCTTGTAAGCAATACATTGTAAAGCTGTTCGCAATTCCGTCCCTCAGTGGGACACATGACTGCCTCCAGACCTTCGGAACAAAATAAGCGGCTTATAAACATATTTGTTTCATTTTTGACAGACGTTTGTCATGGACTTTCTTGTAAGCTTTCTTACCGACATATTGTCCACATTTTTGAACAATTTAGCGCTTAGTTTAAATGCAATAATGCTTCCAAAAGTCTGTCGACAAATTTGTCTACTGTTGGTGTTTGCATTTGTCGCCATTTAGTGGACGCCATGGACACAAAATCGTTTCGGTAACTGGTAAAATATGTCCATAGCTGTTTCGTCTGACGGCTTGTGCAAATTGGCAAATATGAGTGCTTTCGCGACAAACGAAACATTTAAGTCGTTGCAACTGAAGCGCGACGCTAAGCGAACCAGTGTGGATGGTACCCGGTGGATGTGGAGTGTATTAATATTTCAGCAGTTGGCAATGCCGATTTTAATATTTGTTCTTCTCGTTCTCTTATCCCTACCACCATCTGTTGTTTACCTTGTCCATGTGCTACGAATAAAATGGCAGTCTTCGGTTCAGGCCACTCTACAAACTCAAGTGTGTACATAGTACACTTCAGCCTGAAGTGTACATGCATGTACACTTCAACCTGGAGTGTACATGCATGTACACTTTAACCTGGAGTGTACTTGGCATGTACACTCCAGGTTGGCGTGTACTTGCCAAGTACATGCCAGGTGGCTCATACCTGCAGGAGCCAGCAACAGTGTACCTGAAGGTATGCGCCACCTGGCGTGTACTTGGCAAGTACACGCCAACCTGGAGTGTACATGCCAAGTACACTCCAGGTTGAAGTGTACTATGTACACACTTGAGTTTGTAGAGCACAAAGAGTCGTACCTTTCTTTCAAGAAAACCTTGATGTCACGCCACAAAATCTAACAGAGTGGTGCGCCTTCACCGACGGTGTACTATGAAAGCTACTAATCCGTCAGAAGGCCGATAAATTGATTTTTCAATAACTCATGGGCCCGCACTTCTCGTTTGCAGCAAAGAAACGTTCTCTTCTCACTGTACGAAAAAACCACAGTGAATCCCGTTAATTTTTTTGCCGGGATTTACTGTAGCTCAGAACACAGGATTTACTGTGCCTGGCTACAGTACTTACTGTACCAGGTACAGGATATTCCGTACTTCACTCCTGTGGTACAGTAAAGTCCGTACAAAGTACAGTAGATCCTGTAAAAAGTACAGTAAATCCTGTACTCTGAACTACAGTGCCAGCTGTACTAATCACTTCAGGATTTACTGTGATTTTTTCCCACAGTGCTGTCGGTACCAAAACTTACAGTAAATTCTGTAGCGTTAGGGTTGGTCATCTCCACGATGCAGACAGACAAGTTGCTGCGCAGAACGTAGCCCAAGGCTATGGCGAGGAAGACGAGGAACAGTTGCAAGTGCCGCCAGCCGAAGCCGTACGACTTCACTGTCGGACGCCGCACGGTTTTTCCTGAGGGATGCGACATACGTTCGATACCTCAGTAAAACGCACGTTCTGTCGTTCATTACAGGAATCGCTGAAAATCAAATGGCCCGATTATGGCCAAGTGGCCAAATAATGGCGTGACAAAAAGCACATGGGCAAATACAGGGTGAGTTTTCTTCGGTTTTCAAGGTAGATAGGACATCCCTTGGGGATCATTTTTCACCAGTGAACTTGTTGGCGCAGAAGTCTCGGTACGGAGATAATATGTTTTGTAATTGGCCTTCGCGCCTGTGATAGGTAGGCACCCGCTGCCACTGAGGGCATGCAAGGTGGCTACGAGTCTCGAGGGGTCGGCAACTCATATATTACTTCGTACGCGGTGGCTATATTACCCGTATATTACCTGTATATTACCATATATTACTTGCATATTACCACAATTTCGCCTCTATAATACCCCTATATTACTATATATTACTTTGTATTACTTTATATTACACATATATTACGTATATTACTGGTAATATACGTATACTCCCTCGTACACGGCCAAGGGAAGTTGCCGACCCCTCGACGAGTCTTCAATATTTCCGCCCCACAAAAGTTGCATTATTGAGCTAACTATGAATGTTTGTTGTCTAACAGATATATTTGCTTCAGACAGCCATGCAGAGGTGAAGTTTCAAACATTGGTGGCCCACACCGCGCAGGGTAATTTCATATTTATTTCTAAATCCCTAATTGATTGGAATTTCTGATTTCTACATAATTTGTGCTATTTGTGCAGATTGAAGACTTAGAGTCAAGAGAACCATCATCCCATGAAGTAACTCCACGGATGAAGCTGAGGAGCAGGGTGGTGGTGACTGAGGTATGATTTTATATTTATTTCTGAATCTGAATCATACTGAAACTTCTATTGTACCCTGGGATTTCTGTTTTACACAGTTTCCAGATCCTGTTGACTCTGACGATGATGATTTTGAGCCTAAACACACTAGACGTGTAGCACGTGCAGCAGGTCCTTCTGCCTAACAAAGTGTAGCCCGTCCGTCTACTCGAAAGGCTGCAGGACTCTACAAAAATGCAGTTTCTGTTGCCCAATCAGGGGATGAGCAGCCCGCAGTGGCAGGCCCCTCTTAAAGATGATGAGTGAGAGTTTTATAGGCTTACAACTCACAACTTGACAAAAGGAATACAATCTAGGCTTTGGTACAAAGTAGTTCAGCAGTTGAAAAACTTGGGAGTCAGTAGCTAGTGAAGCCAGTTACAATAAGATTGGAGAGAGTAGCTGGAAAAAAGAACTTAAAATTGCAGCACATCAAAAACACCATAAAACTTTCAAATGACATGTTTATGAGACATAGGTTCTTGAATTAGTGAGTTTACATGCTTCATAAGAGATTCGATTGTTACTGTACCGCAGTAGAAAACAAACTATGCATAATCCTAGATCCAGCTTGCACTACAAAGTGAATTGCCTCCCACTACTGCTGCTCCAGTGATACAGTAATGTATTTGGTATTAATGTCTTGTTTTGTTAAAATACTGTGAATTCTATTTTAACTTATCAGTTACCAGTTATGAAAATGGGAACACCTTGCAATGCGATCAGCAAAGGAATATTCCAAATACTTTTTTATATGAAGTTATATAGTTGGTTTATTGATGTTGAAATTCATGAAAATTAAATTTTCAGGAATGATCAAATGAAGAATGGTTCTTATTGCGAATCTGACACTGCAGGAAATAACCACAACAAAAGTACACAAATTTCTGGCAAATTTTTTATCAGGTTTTTATTGTACTTTCAAAGTACAACGATTGTTGTACAAAGTACAATGGAACCGGCATGACGAGTGCTGGGCAGTCCCGGCCTCGTTGTGGTTTGTACAATTGATCCAGGAAGCGGAAGAGGGGAATAACTTGACTTATCCCCAAATTGACTTTTTTATGTATTATTGTGCCTCAGAACGGTTAACATCACTACACCAAATTATTTGACTCAATTCCTAGCAGTTTAGGAGAAAATCCACATGGAAAAAGGGAACAACTCAACTTAACCCCAGTTACGGTCCAAATTTCATTGGAAAATGGAGATAACTCTGCCAAAGTCCACATGGCTCTATTAAAAAAATTGGCAAAAGGAGATAACTCAACTTGTATTTTTATGACTATAATGAAAAAAGAGTCAAGTAGACTTAACTCCCCCTTTTTTTAAGAACACTAGTTGGAAAAAAGAGCCAACTCCAAAAATGAACCAGAGCAAAGTAGACTCTACGCAGACCTCAGCTCCACTTGAATTGTCTCTAAATTCCTCCTCGTTTGGGAGAACTAAGTGAACATGGTTCCGTAGTCTATTCTAACGTAAAGATTTAAATCACAGAAACCCTCTACGGAGTGATCGGACACTTCTAAAAATTTTCATAATTATTACTGATGCTTTTTTGACTAATTTCTAATTGCATATTTCATTTGTTTAGTTTTAGTTTTCCCTGCAAAAAGTTTTTTGTTTCTCCTGAAAAATGATGAAAATTGAGTTATCCCCTTCTTCCGCTTCATGGATCAATTCTCGTTGTACTTTCTACAATCCCTGTTGTACTTTCATTGTACAGATTTTGTTGTACATTTGTTGTACTATTCACACTTTTTCTTGCAGTGGATATTTGAAGGGGAGAGGATAGCATCGAGAACGTTTTCAAAAGTTGTGAGGGTGTTCTTAATAATCGTGTTGGTCTATCTAAGAGTTCCAGTGTTGAAACTGATGTGTGTGTAGTGTATTGAGTTGAGTTGAAAACGGTAAATTGGAGTCTGATGTGATACACTAAATTTTTTATTTGTGCGGAGTATGGATGAAATCTGAATGTCAACAAGGTTTTGATGACTAGGATGACTGATGGAAACATATTTATATGCGCCTATGTCCCATTATGCTTGTGAGTACGTAGCAGCCAGAACGTACTCGCGAACGAACTACAGCGTCATTTCCGATACGTTACAGCCGTCCAATAAGGTTTTCGTTAGCACACCGAGGAGACAACTTATCCTGAGGGCCAAGATAATTATCTTGAAAACACAGTGTGTCACCTTTCGTTTGTTGCCGAAGCAATTGTTTCACGCACCGTTGAGCTTACAATGGAAGACGGCACACTGCAGGAAATAACAACAAAAGTACAGAAATTTCTGGCAAATTTTTATCAGGAATTTAGTGTACTTTTCAAGTACAACAATTGTTGTACAAAGTACAATGGAACCGGCATGACGAGTGCTGTGCAGTCCAGGCCTCGTTGTGGTTTGTACAATTCTCGTTGTACTTTCTACAATCCCTGTTGTACTTTTATTGTACAGCTTTCCATGTACTTTTGTTGTACTATCCACACTTTTTCTTGCAGTGCAAGGTTTGTAATGACTTTGTTTGTAATGACTTTACGGGGACAGGTTCCAGTACTTGCTTCCTTTAAAAGGCAACTCAATAAAATATGAATTATCTGAAGACAGTTCACCATCGTGAGATTGAGGATGGTAGTCTAGAGTTCTACATTTCTCCCCTTCACGCCAGAATGCGCAGTTGTGATGGGCTTTTGAAATTGCCGTATGAATCCGAAGTCCAGGAAAAAAAAAACTTGTTGCAAGCAGAAAAATCATGATTCAGCTGCATTTTCAATCAGAGCTCAACTTACTTATAGGTTTTTCTTAATCAGGTGGGCGTCTATGCAAATGATGGCAATACTGCGAAACACTTTTCTGAAAACTGGGAAAGGACTGCCCACATTCTAAAAATAGAACCAGAGCTTGTTCGCAGACTGGCAGCGATTACTTCTGCTCTAAATAGTCGTCTTGATATTGACAGTGGAAATAATGTGGCATATTCTTCTGCTACCGCTGACCTCAGGATCAATCATTCGTGGTATCACATGACTCCAACAATTCAGAAAGTGCTGATCCTTGGCCAAATCATACTCGAGCAAGCCGTACTGCACATCGGCTGTTTTCTGAGGAACCTCTAAAGTCAAACAACAAAGAGTTCAGCACTGACAGGCTACATCTGCCGTAAATGCAGCCTAGAAGCAACCAATCTAGATATTTTGCACCGACTGCTGTACAGTTCTGATCCTGTAATAAGTCCCGGCGTGACCACCGTCACAGTGACAAAAGCCACGAGGTACATGACTCTCGGATATCACAACAAGTTATGAGCCTGATGAAGGAAAATAAGTAAGTCGATTTAATTTTTGTGGAAGCCGGAATGGTAGTGTGAGATTTACGGAAAGCAATGCTTTAACGCTTTGAATGAAAGAAGTAAAATAGTTTTGTAAGGACTTTTAGACGATCAATTTCGTTTTGCTGTATACCTCTGTATATTTGATCTGAAGGTAAGATATTAAGAAAACAAAATGTCAAACGCTTAAAATGTGACTACATGAACTGCCAAAAAAACCTTCTCCTAACTTTAAATAAAAGTAATAATAAAAATTTGCAGACAACAGAGTAGCCTGCTGGAGGGTTGCGAATGACCAGTGGTCAGCCCCTGCACTGATTCACTCATAGTGTAAGCCAGTTGATGAAAAGGAATCACTGTGTATTTCGACTGGAGCCTTTGTTTTTGTCAGACTTGTAATGAATCGTTCTGTAGGTCTGGTCACAGACATGTACACCGAGGAACAAGAAATCGATGTCTCGCTGCTCATGCCAAGACTTCCAGCAAGGGCCTTCAGACGGCCAAATGAAATTACGACAGCGACATATTCTGCGCACCACTCAACTCGAAGAAACTAATGAAAATTGTGAGATTAATTGACTGGTGTCTTTGAAAATTATCGAGAAGTAGTTTCAAACTTAACAAATCCAATTATAAAATCAAGAGGAACAGACAATTGGGAACAGACTTTTGTTTTATTTTCTTTACCCTAGAAAAAAAAAACCTGTGTTATTGGCTGAGCGGCAGCGAAGTCCATGCCGCGTAAGGGCGCACCAAAAAGTTACTGGCCGTGCGTCTGTTTCCCTGTATGTAATCACTCACGTTTCTCAGCGACTACCGCACGAATAGCATTCAAATTTTGCACCTGATATATCCTTAACATCCTACAGGGTGAGTTTATCTCAAATTAACAATCGTCATCGTTTGAAATATTCAAAACATCGTTTTGAACTTGCTTATAAGCGTTGTTAGGTTGGTGGCAGCGTGTGGCTAACCACTTTCTCATACCATCTCCAAGAGGAATTTTTTTTTTTGAGGTCTGAAATTTTGTCCCTGAACTCCCACTATGGAGGACTACTAACCACAAAAACGCGACCATGAATTCATTGAAAGCCAACGTGCAACCAATGAGAAGATTGTGCTTGTCGGAGAAACGACGATGGAATATAGTCTCGTGCACATGGAGGTGAAACCGTGTTTTTTTACCCCGGGGATAGCTTACTCCCGGAGTAAGTAAACCCTAGGGCAGTGTTACTCCCCCCCTAGGGGGAGTACACTATCCCTAAGGGCAGTTGTACTCCCCCCCCGGATGGGTCAGGGAGTAAAATCCCTAGGGTATCGTTACTCCCCGGGGGGTAACACAACCCTAGGGCAGTGATACTCCCCTTGCCGACCCGGGGAGTAACAAATACCTAGGGTTAGGTTACTCCCGGGGAGTAACACATCCCTAGGGCAGTGATATCCCCCTCCCGACGGGGGGGAGTAACATATCCCCAGGTTAAGTTACCCCCGGGGGGTAACACATCCCTAGGGCAGTATTACTCCCCCCCCCCCGACGGGGGGAGTAACACTGCCCTAGGGTTGTGTTTCTCCCCGGGGAGTAAAAAAAAGCTGCGGAGAAATTTTACTCCCCCATCACAGCTGGGGGGGTAAAACTGCCCCTTTGGGTATCGTTACTCCCCGGGGGGTAACATTACCTACGGGCAGTTTTACTCCCCCCTAACAACGCAATAAAACTAAACGTCGTTGGAATTCCGAAAAAAAAATTGTGGTAAATCAGACCCCGACAGATGACCCGGGGAAAGGGGGGCAAACAATCGCACTGTGCCCCTGTAATTAGGCAACTTTTTCGACATCCTTTCCCCGAACTCGTTTCTGGATTAACGCCGCGATATGGAACACGCTCAAAGTCACCAACTATTGTGAAAACCTTTTCTGTCTGTAGAGGATAGGGCACTTTGCAACCATTGAGTAGGGCACGAGTCGGTGCACTAGTGCGCAAGCGTGGTGGCACGACAGTGACAGTCCTCCAAAGTACTACAGAAACCAGAGGTGAGGAAAGTGACCCGCGGACCCGAACGGACCCCATGCTGACGAGACTCCATCCGATCTGAACTGCTCCTATCCGACCCAAGGCGGCCTCATCCCCCTGACCCGCCGCCCTGCCGTAGGTGTCGCCACGCTGGCCGGCGGGCGGTGGATCGACACCATCCAGAGCCACGCTGTTTTGGCGGCTTTCTGACTCCCCAACTCCTGTAAACGCGGTAGTACTGTCATGCTGACACCGTGGCCTGTCTTAGCGTACCCTAAGTTTGCATTTTGTTCCAAAAAAAATTTGCCGCCGGGTGGTGTCGAACCTCCGCACGTCGGAGGCAGCCTGCCCGGGCCGGCCAGGCTCACCGCCGCAGCGAAGGCTGCGTGCGGAGAGTGTTTGCACGAGGAGACATCCCGGCTGGCGGAAGGAGAGGGGTTGGAGCGGATCTCTTCTCTCACTTCTGCCAGAAACAACGAAATTACGTCTTCTTGGAGAACATACGTAAACGACGGCGATCCCATTCAAACGAGCGGCGGGAGTGACTGGCAGCGCTGCACATGGCGCTTTGCGGAAGCTCACTGTGCTGGACAGTTGAGCATCGTGAACAACATTCCGTGTTGTGTTGACTCCGACAAAGTAAGAAAGATTGTGTTGTGTGTGTGTTGTTGGTTTCATGCTTTGGCAGGAGGGTGTCCGAAGGTGAGTACCAGTCTGTATTAATTGTTCATACAGCCACCACAATTCGTACCGCAAAATTAAATAAATGTTCGGGAGTGACTCAAATGAACAACGAATGAAATGATGACGACATGTGCAATTACTTTCGTAGGTTCCTTTACATAACAAACGAGATAACCGGCCACCACTCCAAAACCAATTGCGTGAAAAAGACAAACAAATTTTGACTTTTGTACCGATGTAAAAGGCTACGGGTGTCAACCATAACCTCACTTTGTCCAATAAAGTTATCGTTTCGATTCTCGAGAACATTCGGAAGCAGAGCCTAGACATAAGAGCGGCACTCTGCCGCTCGGTTGCTTTCGCCGCTTCCTGGACGCAACACTGTGGAGGCGGTCAAATTCAAGAACTCGTTTTTGTACCCAGAGTGGATAAATGGGACTCGATCCGAGCGTGTGACTCCACTATAGGCAGTGCGGCCCGCAGCGGGCCGCAATGGGAAGAGAGGCGAGAGACACAACTCCAGGCCGGGCCGGCAGTGAGGCTGTCTCTCTGGCACTCCCATGGTCATATGGGAGGGACAAGGACAGACAGTGTGCTCGCGCGGCCGACGTGCGCCGAGGCAGGAGAGCGCTGGCTCGTCGGCGCTTGGCCGCCGGTTCGAGCCCAGTGTGTCGCCCGCTGGCATCTATCCTTGTCTTTCCCATAGGAGTCAGTGAGAGCAAGAGAGATAGACGATGTGCTCGCTTCGTTTAGACGAAGGCGAGCAAAGCTAGCGCCGGTCAGCGCCGATTTCACACATCCCCGGCCTACTCGCCTGATCTCCCATCTCTCTCTTTTCACCCGGTGCGGCCCGCGGCCTTCTGCCAGCCTGAGACCCCTGCCTTAAACCAGGGGTGTGCAACTCAGGCGCCCCGGGCGCTGCCCCGGGCGCCGAAGTCGCCCGGCGGGCAGACGCTCGAGCCGCGCGGGCGCTGCCGAGCCAAGGCTTGTGCCGGGGCCGGCCCGGGCTGGCTGGTCTGTGACAGGCGGCAGTGCGGCTGGGCGACCGACGCTGAGGTGTGAACTCGACTGGACGAACCGAGCACATCGGCCGTCTCTCTCACTCTCAGGGCGGCCTATGGGAAAGACAAGGACGGATGCGGCTGAGCGGCGCGCTGGTTTGGCTGGGATCGAACCGCTCGCTGGGCGCAGCGAGCCAGCCAGCCAGCGCTGTGCGAGTTCGGCTACGCAGGCGGCCAGCCCACAGCCAACAGGCGAGCGCCCGCGCCTTGTGCCCGGGCGCCCGCAAGGCGCCCGTCGCCCGCCAGAGGCGAGTTGCACACCCCTGCCTTAAACTTAAACCGGTCCTCTGGCCCACCTACGTGCGCCGTCATGTGGATTATTTCGTCCGATTTTGAGCCGCGTCGACGCCACCGACTAAGAGGGGCGGATCCAGAGCCGGATTGAGGTGGGGGCGGTGTCGAAAAGGTTGCCTCCCTACAGGGGCAGGCACGCGGCCGCTGTCGGCAAAGAATTTGTGGCACGCCGTCGCGGATGATTTCACCGGCGGCTTCGCCGACGGCGCGACTTGATCTCATATACGAGGATATACGAGGACGTACCATAAGGAGTCCGTCAAAGCAACTTTTAAGTCGGAGGCCATAATGATCATCGGCCTCTGGCTGCGTTCCACTTGGGTGTCCGGGACTTTTGCCTTCAGCACTGCGTTGGGGTGCCCCTGGGCTACCAGGAATCCGTTAGCGGTCGCCGTCGGACCACCGGTGCGCCGAGGGTGCCGACGTCGGCGTCGTCTCCGGCCGGCCAAGCACGCGGTGGCGTCCAAGGACACGACGGCGGCGTCAGCCGTCCGAGCACGCGGTATCGGCCCTGGGCTACCAGAGGATATACGAGGACGTACCAAAAGGAGTCTGTCAAAGCAACTTTTAAGTCGGAGGCCATAATGATCATCGGCCTCTGGCTGCGTGCCACTTGGGTGTCCGGGACTTTTGCCTTCAGCACTGCGTTGGGGTGCCCCTGGGCTACCAGGCATCCAATAGCGGTCGCCGTCGGACCACCGGTGCGCCGAGGGTGCCGACGTCGGCGTCGTCTCCGGCCATCCATGCTGTTGGTCGCGACGGAGGACACAGCGGCGGCGGTGGCGACGCGATCGTTCAGACACCCGGTCCGCCACGGCGCACCGGCGTGCCTGACGTTCGTCGGCACCCTCGGCACACCGGTGGTCCGACGGCGACCGCCAACGGGTTCCTAGTAGCCCAGGGGCACCCCAACGCAGTGCTGAAGGCAAAAGTCCCGGACACCCAAGTGGAACGCAGCCAGAGGCCGATGATCATTATGGCCTCCGACTAAATAGTTGCTTTGACGGACTCCCTATGGTACGTCCTCGTATATCTCCGGAACCGCTTGTTCTAGAGCGTCGGCGAACTCGGCGTTGTACTCCCCGTGTCCTGGGGACCTCGCGGACACCTTTGGGGAATCCCAGGTCGCAAATCCGTGGACCTCGGCGTCATGGCCTTTATTTTCAGACATTATGTGGAAAATTTATTTCAAGATATTATCTGGAAATTTTTTTTCTAGATATTATTCGGAAATGCCGATTTTTTTACTCCAGATATTAATCTGGAATTTGACTATTTTTAGGTATCATCTGGAAAAAGTAGAAATTTCCAGACAATATCTGAAAAAAAAAACGGCTATTTCCAGATAATATTTGTAAATGCGAAAAAATATCTGGAAATTTCCAGACGTCACTCTGACCGAGTTCCAATTTATATTTGCAGCCTCTTTTTTTGCACAGCTTGCCACGGCTGCCAAGCATTTTACAAAATTTACCAACAATAATATTTAATTCTTTTTCCAGCTTGTTTTCATTTTGTTTAAAACTGCAAGATGGTGGAAAATGAAGATGAAGAAGAAGTTGTCGGCATTGACCTGGGCACGAGCTCCAGCAAAGTGGCCATGTTCGTGGATGATGATTTGGTTGTCCTCGAAAATGACCTTTTTAAGAGGTCCACTCCTTCATGTGCTACTGTGCCAAGTAATGATTCTTCTTTGGACTGGGTGGTTGGCGAAGCTGCTTTAATGCAGGCAGTTGTCTATCCGGAGCTTACAATGCAAGGTCAGTACCTAAATAAATTATTGGCTCATTTACCTTGAGAACCTAGGCACCTAGGCACTCTACCGTGTTTTAATTGATTCTTTGTACTGAATTATAGGTACGAAGCAGCTCTTGGGGAATCCCTGCCAATCTGACCCAACTTTGCAGCAAGTGCGTTTTTTACTCTAAATATTTTGTTATGCTTGAGCCATATTTTTTTCTTATTTTACATTTAATTTTTATCATCAGGCTATTGTTGAAATAATGAAGCACTTAGTGGCAATACCACAAGGCAAGACAGTCGTTAGTGCAGCAATATCTGTCCCGGCTTACTTCAATCAAATGCAACGGAAAAGTTACCTTGACGCAGGTACTTTATATGAATTAAATGAGTACTTTGAATATAATGACTGTAAAAACATATGTTTTGAGTTCATGGGTCTCACTAACTGTCATTTTAAGGCATTTGTGATTTTTGGTTATTACAGCTTTTGAAACGTGTCTTCAGAAAATAATTATTGTAGACGACATATCAGCTGCATTAGCAGCATACGCACGAACATGTAAAGAAAAGAAGACTGTTGTGATTGTTGACGTTGGTGCTGGAGGAAGTAATGTTGCTATTGCATCAGTTAAAACGTCTGAAATATTTATAATTGAGATGTCAAGGAAGCGTTTACCAGGAGGTGACCATTTTAATGAAAGAATGGTAGAATATATCAAGAAGGTAAGAACACAGGTACTGAATGAAACTGCCTTTGCAACGGAACGTCATAAAACTACTTTTATTTGTTTCAGCGTGTAAGTGCCAAAACACATGCTGCCACGTTTGATTGTCGAGACACTACAATTATACGACGGTCTTGGGAAAAGGCTAAGCACACTCTCTCGATGATTCCCACGACTAATGTCAAAACATTTTTACCTGGCTTGGACTTTGAAGTGGATGAAGAAGTCAGCCGCAGTCAATTTGAAACAGAATGCAAAGATCTGTTTGGTGCTATATTGAATGAGGTCCAAGACACTATGCAGGGATCACATGTAAGAACCTCATCTTAGTTACCTTTCCCACTGATTAGTAATGTAATAACAATACAAGTTTAAAAGTATAAATAGTATAAGTCAAGACACTTTCATGATGCAAAATCACACAGCACTTTGAGTCCCGCATAAGTTAAGTGTTGACTGTATGCACGTGTTAATTGGAATGTTACACCCTATTTTTTTTAAAATGTAATTTGTTAATTAAACGTTAACCAAGAGGAAACACACAAAACATTAAGCCAGGTGTACACATTGGAACAATTGTAATGTGTATCTGCTGACACGCTTTTTTTTTTAAGGTAACTCTGGAGGGAATAGACAATTTGGTTCTAGTCGGTGGCTCAACACGAGTGCCATATATTCGCCAGTTGTTTAAATCCTTTTCGAAAGATAAATTTAAGTTATTTGACGTTGACGAGGCTGTAGCCAAAGGACTAGCTTTAATAGGCAGCAACAAAATTAGTTTTGAACAACCGCCAGAAGATAGAGATTGGCTTTGGTACGCTGGTAATCCAATTTTCATGCCCACTAACAACAGTGATGGATTTATGAGGCAGCAGCAACAATGTACGTACACCTACTCCATTCCTTTAACATAATTTCCTAATTACCATTTGGGATTATTGGTAAACCATTGAAAATACTTCGTAATTATTGGAAACTTTGTTACCTAGCATACTGCAGTGCCATCCTAATTTATGACTTTGCCATTCCTTTAAAAATCTCTTTTTTTTACAGATGGTGCTGATTTAATGAATCCCATGTGTTATAGGGGATTACCATTTTCCAATTTTATGCCATTTGATTTTATGACGGTAAACACGGAAAACTGCTTTTACACTCCACGTAGTGACCAAGGTACTTGTTTGCAATGTTCCATGTTGTGTAATTCTTCAGGAACCATTTTAAAATATTTTTTTTCATTTTTTTAGCTCCATTTCCAAATTGTATTGGTACCAGCAGTATCTCCGAAGAGGTTTCCGAAAACTACAGCATACCACCAAAGTCTCATTTCAAAATAAGTGCAGTGCAAGATGGCACAAAACCCAATGTGCCAATTTCAAATGAGGAATCAAACGCTCAGTTGGGTAATGGCACTGCTTCAGAAACTATTCAAGAAAACTGTACCAATGATTTGACAATTCATGACTTGGGCGGCAATGACGAAGTCAGAGGGAACCCACCAGGAACACATCACATGGAGTCCAAACAACCAGATAATAATGAAAGTTACCCAGACGCGAATGATGTTGCTGGTCCCAATACAACCACAAACCTTGATATTGATGTGGGACCAGATACCTCTAACAACTTGGACAAGAATGAAGGTGAAGAAAGCCGTAAGTATCTTTGGACAGTGCATTTATAGACACCGGTGCATTTATATCGGAGGGACGGGCGGCATGTAGTATGATTTAGGCTGTGTGGCCGTCCGTCCCGAGGTCCGTCCGTTCCAAGGTCCGTCCATCCCGAGGTCCGCCGTCCGAGAACCTCCCGTGGTCCGATCTTTACTAAATCTTGTATGCAGAATCCTTGGCTGACTCACCTGTTGTCAGCAAATCCTATCCGAGCCTTGGGGGGCGCTACTGCATGTGCATGGTCTACTTGGGGTCAGGGAGAATTTTTGTGACGGATACAACTAGAAGGGCATGTTGTTGTATTTTTGGAATCAGGGCGATGAGACAGAGCCAACGGTACAAGTTGCGATAGAATCAAAGTTTGGACCATGTTTTAATGCCAGTTGGTGAAATTGGCTCATTTCTAAATGTATGCGATGGGCCACAGTTGCCAATGTCGCTTATTTTCCAACGTGTCTTTTTTAAATTTGTAATTAAAACCAGAGTAAAAATGGGACATAAACTTGCGTAGAAATCAAAAAATTAAGAAAAAATTGCTTTGTAAATGCGATTGACAGCTCTTACAACTAACCTACTTTGATAAACATTTTCTCAACTTTACTAGATGTGAACTTTTAACTATGCATTCTAATCATACAAATCATGTTGCAGGTATAGATGATGAATCAGAAGACGGTATGTCATTTAGTGTATTTAAATAACGTACAATAGTGTTATTAATTAAGACACTAATAAATTGTCAATTTCTTTTCATATTCAACTTTAGACGAACAAAAGGAGCAGTTCAACCTTGATCTTAACGAAGCACTAACATATCTGAAAAATGAAGGATATCCGAAGCGGTTACGCGGAAGGCAGCTGAAAGGCGAGCGAAAAAATTTTCGCAGACAATGTAAGCCGTTCCTATACGATAAAGAGGTGAAGAAATTATACTATGTGAAACAGGGAACCAGAAAAGTGCGGAACCAGTCAGACACAGTGCACAAGAGAGAGGTCATTTTTAAAAGAGAGGAACAGCTCCGGCTCGTTAAACTGTATCATGAAGGGAGTGATGTGAGCCTTGAAGCGAAAGCTATGAGTGGGCACCGCGGAAGGGACCGCCTGGTTAAAATTTTAAGTGAACGGTATTTTTGGCATGGAATGTACCGTGATGCCAAAGTATTCTGCCAAAATTGCCTCAATTGCAAATCGGTCAACCCATCTACCCTGAAGGTGTCTGATCCGATGCACCCCGTTGGTGTACCAACCAGGCATATGGTTCAAATTGGCGTTGACATAGCACAATTGCCCGAGGTGGATGGATTTAAATACATGATTGTAGCTGCTGATTACTTCACAAAGTGGATGGAAGCTGCGGCGATTCCCGACAAGGGAATGCATACAGTTGCTCGCTTTCTGTGGTCGGATGTGGTTTGCCGCCATGGTTGCCCGGAGGTTATAATAACTGATCAGGGAAGAGACTTTTGCCACCGTTTGAGTAAGGCACTGATGGATCTTTCAGGAGGAAAGCACCGAGTCACCAGTGCTTACCACCCCCAGGCTAACGGCCTTGTGGAGAGAGGGAACAGATCTATAAAGCTTGTCTTTATGAAGGTATTGCAGCGTGATATAGCTAGGTGGCCATATGTCCTCCCTGGTGTTTTGTTTGCCCATAGAACTTCCGTACAGGACAGTATAAAATTTTCTTCATTTTTTCTTTTGTACGGAAGGCACCCAAGGCTGCCGTATGAGGTAAACAAAGATTCTGCATCCAGCGAAGAAGACTCAGAAGTTGAAGATGATGTTGAGAAGTGCAGTGAATGGGTCATCAATGATAAAGAGCCGCTTGACTTTTCTGGAATAGATGTGCCGTTTGATGTGGATCATTTCAAAAAAGTATTTGAACCACTTGATGCGTTCAGAAAACTGGTTGATCAGGCAGCAGCTGAAAATATTAAAAAGGCACAAGCAAAACAAAAACGTGGGTATGACAAAAGGCATACTGGAGGCCAGGTTCTCAAAGTTGGTGATAGAGTTTTCGTTGAAAACGAGAGGCGCAAACAACGTAAGGGTGGAAAGCTCGAAAAGGCAAGAGATGGCCCATATACAGTGGAAGACATAAGTGACAGGAAGAGGGTGACGCTAAAAAATGAAGCAGGAAAGGTCCTTCAAAGAAAATACCCTATTAGCCATCTGGTGTTAGTGGATATTCCATCTCCCCCAGAGGACAAAAGGAAAGACCGTCCACAAAAGGAAGAGGATTCTTCGGAAACAAAAGAGTTTCCCGGTCATCCGGAAAATGTGTCAACAAAAACAGGTATGTCATAGGAATACCGGAAAACATTGCAAATCTTTTAAGTATGTTATAGAATAATAAAGCCCTTTTTGTTGAAGGTGACACGAAGAAAAACTCTTCTGAAACTGGCAAAACAAAAAGAAAAGAGAACCCAGGTATAACTCTTTAATTTAATATCATTTGTTGTTTTTGGTGACTTTAACGATTGTTATGTTTCATTTCAGAAAATTCCAGCACAGAAACTGTTTCGTCAGACGAAGAACAAGTTTCTAACCCATTGCTTCAATCCCCTCGCTCAATAGAAATCAAAGTAACGTTTAATTGGTAAAATGTTTGTACAGTCTTCATCGGCAAAGAGTCGACGGATCGGGACCGGATTTCGACTCTTTGCCGACACGAAAACCGAACAGCACATGGTGGTAGACAAAAGCTCCGGTAGTGCTCCGAGCTCGGGAGGGCCATAAACCTATTGTGGCCCGAGCTCGCCCCCGCCGCGTAAGCGGGGACCGTCGCACAAAGTCGACTCTTTGCCGGTCGACTCTTTGCCGATGAAGACTGTAATTTCTTAGCATACAACGTATTAATCATGTCTTTATTTTAGGAGCTTCAAGAACTTATGAAACATGACGAAACCCAAGTTGTCTTGAGGACAGATAAATACCACCTGACTGTTGCAGAGATAAAAATTTTGAGAAGTAACAAGTGGCTTAATGATCTGGTACTTTCTCTCACATTTTCGTTTTTAACATTAATGCTTCGCAAACTTGTCCTTAATGTCCTTTTTTTTTCAGATTATCAATGCTTATATGAGCATCATCGCCAATGAGAGGCAAAATGTTTATTGCTTTAACAGTTTTTTCTATAAGCAATTATGTGTTTCTTTTGAAAAGGTGGCAAGGTGGACAAAGGATGTGAGTTGATGGATTTTTTTCTATTATTGAGTGAGGCTAGTTATCTCATGGAACTAACAATTTTTTCCCACAATGCAGGTAAATATTTTTGAATCACTTTTTGTGGTGATTCCCATACATTTGGTATCAGAGAACCATTGGACTCTTTGTGTTGTCAACAACGAGACAAGGGAAATTTTATACCTCGACAGCAGCATTTTAAAATCTGACGGAGTTCAGTGTATGGATGTAAGGCACTAGTAAATGTATCATTCATGAGTTTGTCTTGTTTTTTATAGCATTATGACGAAAGTTCTCTAATTTTCTGTTTTTAAGAAAGTGAAGGCTTACCTTGAACAGGAACACAAATGTAAAATGTCAGGAACATTTTTGCCGTACACCTGTCGGAAAGTAAATGAATGCTCATCCCAAAACAATTCACATGACTGTGGCGTATTTCTCTGCTACTTTGCGAGACAGATCGTAATAGAATCATCTATCAGTCATAGTAGCGCTGCTGTGAGCCGTCTACGACACCAAATGGCTTTTGAGCTTCTGTCATCACAGCTCATGGACGACAACTACCTGCTGGTGCATAGTTTTCTAGAACTACTTATGTATTTTTTTGCACATAAAACTTACATTAAATTTCGTCCATTTCATGTTTCACAGGACGAATACTACCCAAATGGACCTCTCATGGGACCGACTCAAGTCCTTTATACAGCACTTCCAGCTCAACAGTGTCCTATGATTGTACCCGGAAGCGGCTTAAGAAATCTGGGAAACACGTGCTACATAAACTCTTGCGTTCAGGTATGGTATCGAGATGATTACCGCATGACCTATATGGGTTAAAATATATTTTTCTGTGAAATGAAACTGTCTTCTGTCCAAAACAAAAATTGTCATAACTGCGTGGGGCTAAAATTGACTAATATTGTGTCTTATTTTCACTAATTTCTACGATTCAGATGTTAATGCACATTGGTCCGTTTGCTGCATTCCTTGAAGAGGATGAAGATCATAGGCTTACATGTCTGCAAGAGAAATGCTTGACATGTGCGCTAGGCAAACTTCGCTCCGATTGCCAGAAAGGAGCGGGTGTTGTGGAACCGGTTGAACTTATTATGGCTATAAAAGGTAAGTGTTTTGACGACACTGCGTATGTTTGCAGCTTTAAGGAAAACAGAATTGTTTTTTTTATTCTTCCAGACTTTTGGAAGGACTTTGAAGACGGCCGAATGGAGGACGCTACAGAATTTTTGAACCTAATGCTTCCAAGACTACAACAGGAGTATATTGAGAGATTTTTCTTGGAAGAGTAAGTTTTTTGGTAGAAAAATATTTGCGCTTTTTTAAAAAGTAAATGACAATTTGTTTTTTTCCTTCAATTTACAGCATTGACATACACAGCCAGAAAACAACACCAGTTTGTCAAATCTTTGGATTCTACATAAGAACAGAAAGTAAGACAGAAAAAGGTATATTTACTGTAAGGATTTTTTTAATGTTTATTTTTTTATGCAGCAAAGTGTACCAGTTGCCAATTAACTTCGGTCACATTTGACCACACGTTGCAAATAACTTACCCCGTGGCCAGGATTAAATCAGTGAAGAATGGTCTGGACCTGGCTATGGCACCTGTGGAGGTTGCAGACTACAATTGTAACGGTTGCTTTAAATCAGTGACAGCAAACACTGTTATGACCATGCAAACTCTCCCCCGAGTTTTGATCATATACCAACAAAGGTTTGTAGTAGGAAAACTCAGCAAGGATACTGATCCTGTTTGACATAAAATAATAGGTTCCTTTGTGTGTGTGTGTGTTTTTTTTAAGAATTACTACAAGAGTTCTTTATTTCCTTTAAGGTTTTCTGCAAACATGCCAAAGAACAACAAAGTCATTTCAGCACCCACGCACCTTGATCTAAAAGACTACTTATCACCCAACGTAAAGGTTCCTCACATGTATGACTTTGTGGGTGAAATCAGCCATTTAGGCCCGAATGCTTCAGATGGGCACTACACGTGCGGTATGAGGTGCTCAACTGGCTACCGCCTCTTCAATGATGGAACGGTAATTAGTCGCATTTAAGATTTATTTAGAAAGTTCATTACCACGTGACACAAATAGTTATCTTTTTTTTAAGGTTTCACAAACCACCAAGGAGTTTCTCCTCTCGGAGAGAAGTTATGTCCTCGTTTACGAGCAAAGGCAAGATAAATAGGTTATTTTTAACATTTTTGGATCATTTGTCTGAACGGAAAATTTGTGTCTTCATGCATATTATTATTGCTTGTTCATTTCAATAAATGATCACTTTTTATCAGTTTTGTAACATTTGTGTACATGATTCACTTCATAGTTTTGTGAAATTTGTGACTAAATGGTGATTTATTAAGACAAACGATAAGTTGGTCAAATTACTTTTGTGTCAATAGTGTTTGTTCATTAAAATAGATAAATAGGTTATTTTTAACATTTATGGGTCATTTGTCTTAACGAAAAATTTGTGTCTTCATGCTTATTGCTCGTTCATTTCAATAAATGATAACTTTTTATCAGTTTTGTAACATTTTGTGTACATGATTCACTTCTTAGTTTTGTGAAATTTGTGACTAAATGGTGATTTATTAAGACAAACGATAAGTTGGTCAAATTACTTTTGTGTCAATAGTGTTTGTTCATTAAAATAGATACATAAATAGGTCATTTTAAACATTTATGGATCATTTGTCTTAGCGAAAATTTGTGTCTTCATGCTTATTATTGCTTGTTCATTTCAATAAATGATCACTTTTTATCAGTTTTGTAAAATTTGTGTACATGATTCACTTCATAGTTTTGTGAAATTTGTGACTCAATGGTGATTCATTAAAACAAATGATAAGTTGGTCCAATTACTTTTGTCTCAACAGTGCTTGTTCATTAAAATAAAAAAAATAAATAATCACTTCTTTCATCAGTTTTGTAGCTTATTTCTCTGTTACGGGGGCACAGTGCGATTGTTTGCCCTCCTTCCCGGTCATCTGTCTGGGTCTGAGTTACCACAATTTTTTTTTCGGAATTCCAACGACGTTTAGTTTTATTGCGTTGTTAGGGGGAGTAAAACTGCCCGTAGGGTAATGTTACTCCCCGGGGAGTAACGATACCCTAAGGGCAGTTTTACTCCCCAGCTGTGATGGGGGAGTAAAATTTCTCCGCAGCTTTCTTTTACTCCCCGGGGAGTAACACAACCCTAGGGCAGTGTTACTCCCCCCGTCGGTGGGGGGGAGTAATACTGCCCTAGGGATGTGTTACTCCCCGGGGAGTAACTTAACCCTAGGGATATGTTACTCCCCCCCCTCGGGAAGGGGGAGTATCACTGCCCTAGGGATGTGTTACTCCCCGGGGAGTAACCTAACCCTAGGTATTTGTTACTCCCCGGGTCGGCAAGGGGGAGTATCACTGCCCTAGGGTTGTGTTACTCCCCGGGGAGTAACGATACCCTAGGGATATGTTACTCCCTGACCCATCCGGTGGGGGAGTACAACTGCCCTTAGGGATAGTGTACTCCCCCTGTGGGGGGAGTAACACCGCCCTAGGGTTTGCTTACTCCGGGGAGTGTTGAGCGACGAGAGTAGTATAACACGGTGACACCCCTACGGGCCCACGGGCCGTCCGAGCGGTGCGAGAGAGACAGAGCGCTGTTGGAATGGCGCTGCAGGTGGATGGGCATTCTTGGCGCCCCCGCGGGGCCCGGTGCCCCCAGTCCCCAGTCGCGGCGCCGCCGGGAGACAATGCGCGCCACGCCGGCGACGCCACGCGGGATGCGCCCCACGGCGCCGGGCTGCCCACTGGCGGCCTCGCCGGCCGGGCACGGCGTTGGCGGACTTCTTGGCGACGTCGGCGCGGTGGCGGCCGAGGTGCATCCAGGCGGCAGACAGGTGTCTGGTCCGCGGGCCTGCCTCAGGTTGCCTCAGGTCCGCGAGGCAAACGCGCAGTGCGCAGTCGCCGCCAGGCTCTTCAGAACTTTCGCTCTGTCTCTGTCGCACCTATACGGGACGCTAGTACATGGGTACGACTCTCGGAGTAAGTCTGCAGCCGCCAGGTGCGCGTTACGCGAGGCGCCCCCAGGATATCGTCCACGCGTTGGTCGGATTTTGCTTTTCATCGATTTGGAGCGACTGTGGCCGCTGACCGGCGCGCTGACCAAACTGGGCGCACCACACCGCGCGCCCCGCCTTGCGAAACTCGCCATCGGGTCCATCGGGCGCGCTGTGGCTGTGCCGGTGGCCGGGGCCGGGCCGTACTCTCTGTGTGCACACCGCAGCGTGGCAAGGCGCGGCGGCCGACCCCGCCTTGCTTTCTACGGGCCTAACTAACGCGGTGGTGCCGCGGTCCACGGGTGCGGTCTCCGGCAGGCCAGGCAGGCGGTCTCCTG